CATTTCCTATCCTTTAATCAAATTATAATGGATTATAGAAGAAATAGATGGTTTGAAAGAAGATTTATTATGATAAGTGTCGCAAATAAAATTGTTTTTTTTACTATGAAATTTACCAAAAAAAAATAGGTCTTAATATTGAAATTTGGTTCTTATAAAAAATGGTATATAAAAATAAAATCTATCCATTATATTATTTCATTTTTTTTCTATTATTTATTTATTTTTTTCCCCTTCGAAATTCCCTAATTTATGATAGTATATAAATCATCACTTTTTTTAAAAAAAGATATATTTTCATTATAAAAAATATATTCTTCATTGTAATATAATAATAAGGGAATTAATATTGTGATCTCGTTATAAGTTATAGAGAACTAGTAATCAGTTTTTTATAATATAAAATTTTAGGATTTTTTCCTATTTCTAACCCTTAAATCATTATATTTTTATTTTATTTTTTGAAAGAAGATGAGTTTATCTTAAAATAAGTCAATAAATGAAATGAATTTCTTTTATTTTTTTTGCAACTCTTAATTTTATTTTCAATGATTAATATCATCTTTAATTTATTCATTTTAAAAAAAAAATGATAAAATACAAAAATAATATAAAATTCTGGTTTTGCATTAATTTTTCATACAAAACAATAACTTTAAAAAATAACCAAATCTCATAAAAACAAACTAAAAAAATTACAAATTATATTGTTAAATATAATATATTAAATGTATTATTTACTTGTAAAAAAAATATTAAATTTCTTTAATTTATAATATATAATATATAATAATATTTATATTATATTAACTTTTCATAACCTCACTCACACACATTCATCATTTTAAATGTTTTTTTTAAGTTTGTATTTGACAAAATGTTTTTAATTTTCTTCCTTTTTTTAAAAAAAAAATAAAATTAATAAAATTAAATGTCATAATTCATAATTTTATTACTATTTTTATGTAATAAGTAATTCCCTTTTCTTCATACCAAAAAAAAACAAAAATTCTCAGAGATTTTTTGAAGTTAAATAATTCCATATTAAAATAATACATAGATTTATATAGTAAAAGAGAGAAAATTTAAAGGGATCTTACAATGTTGAATTAACTTTTACTTGTTTTTATTAATATTATTGTTATTTAAAAATAAAGTCATTTTCTTACTAAAAAGTGAAACTGGCGAGAACTGATAGAAGAGGGAGAATAAAAAAATTAATAGAAGATTTAAGAAATTTTCATCTTTGAAACCGTAAATATGATAATTTATATAAATATACAAGTCATATTTTAGTGTTCCTAATTCTATAAATTTTAACAAGATAGATTTTTATTTTTAAATAATGAATTATTTGTTTTTAGGGAAAATATTTGGAAGTCAAAAATGTATTAATATGTTAAAAATTGGATTTACTATACATTATGAGAGTGGCGCCAATGATGTGTGTATATATATATATGTCGTATTGGGATTCGAAATCCTTGGGGATTCGGAATCTCTTGATTTAAATCACTTACCGAGAGCGATTTAAAAAATCTTGATTTAACTGGAGATGTATTCTAGAGTGGGTAGAGTATACCCAACCTGTAAATTTCAAACAATTTTGCCATGAACTTTAGAACTACTTCTAATTTATATTAATTTTTATATGGGTTTTTCATATAAATTAAAAAATTACTAAAATGTCTATCGTTGAAATTGGCTGAAATTTATGGGGTAAATACTCTACACATGCTGGAAGAATACAATTCCTGTAAAATCAGATTTTTAAAATCCAAAAATCGCCCTTAGTAAACGATTTAAAATTGAGAGATTCCGAATCCCCACGGATTCCGAAACCCCATACGACATATATACTACTAGATTGGCTATTCATTCGTTAAATGCATTTAAAAGTGTCCATACGTAGGAATTCGTTGGACCTGCCATTTTGTGGTTAGCACGTCGATTAAATTACATTAACTTGCTCTTTTATAATGTTAAATGAAGACAATTCGTCTTAGTGCAAACCACAAAATGGCACTACACCAATCTAGAAGTATATATATACATCACTGTGTGGGGCGCACCACAACTATACTCGGATCATATCTTGTTTGAGAGGTTGCTTATATTTAGGATGTGAAAATTGTCTAACTGCAGATTGAGAAATATTGATCACCTCAAGAGGAAAAGCACGGACTAATTATTCGCATAGTAAAGACCTACACTTAAAAAGACATCTTAATAATGATCACTAGGAGTCTCAGAGTTGCCCCCATACAAAACAATCTAATACATTAATCCATAGTCAGTATAAATGGTTAATTATTTGAGTCATGAGTAAATTTATTTCTACTTCTCTTCAAAGTTGAGCTATATATTTTTTTAAAATGAGGAGATGATCTTTTTTCGCTAAAAGAACTAGAGTTTGCCGACTAGAATTAACCCCAATAAGTAGGAAGAGGACTGTAAAAGACTAATTTACTAAAATTACGTGGGTGTTAGGTGTAATATTTATCTGGAACTTCATTTATACACCCCCCCTTCCACCCCCCCCTACCCCTTCCATCAGACTTGAATATAAACCCATTAACATCGACAAAATATTTTTTTTTTAAATATATAATTAATATAGTAAAACTAAAACTTAATAACTATATTATTTTTAGGACATTTTTTCACACAGATACTTTAAAAAAAGTTTAAAAATTATTAAAGTAACCATAAAAACTTTTGCCTATAAACTAAAACTCCATATATCTCCTTAGTCAGAAAATGCAAATTAAGTATCTTTTCTTTCTTCTCTAAATTTATAATTATTATTTAACAAATAATGTTAAATTATGGGTTATTAGTTAATTTTTAGTGTCATAATTATGAAATGGTCTCTTAATAACTCTGGCAAACTGTAGATACAGACTTTAAAGTTGTCGGGAGTGATGTGGCTTCGTTTGTAGCCTTAAACTTTGGCACAGAAGGAAGCTTTGGGATTTATTAATCGGGATGGGATAAAGGTATCACATCAGAACAAACTTTGAGGAGGGAAAAGAAAGTTTATAAAAAAGTATGTTCATGGTAAGGAGATGATGATCAGAGGATATATAATAGAAAGAATGAAATATATCGGAAACTAGAAGTAATAATTTTTTTCCTCCCTAAAATATTCAAAATTAGTTAGGATATTTTTTTTTATTGCATTTAGTAACTAAAATATATATAATCATAATTTCTACTTGCATAAAATTTAAAGAATTCCTTTATTAGTTCCCCTCGGAACGCATTAAGAATATTAGCATCTAAATCAATAGGAAACTTAGGCCTAAATAGGTTCAACATGAGTCGATTTACAAATTTATTAGCCATTTTACCCAATGGCGTTTTGAAGGAGAAAAAAATAGTTCCATATGTTTATCACTTCTACAAATACTCAATTAGAGTATATCCAAAATTTCTTACGATCTCAAAAATATATACTCAATGCCATTATCTAACTTCTTTCGCCTAGACCCCCCCCCCCCCACCACCATTTAATATGAAATTTTTGTTGAATGCGTTTGCCTAACTCGGCAATTACCGGTTCAAAAGGACAAGGGGCCAGAGATAAGCATATATGAAATTTTTGAATCTAAAAAATAATATATGTAAATATTCCATTTATAAGACTTCATATATAATGATAAAAAAAAATTCAAAAAGAGGGAATATGTAAATTTTGTATATTAATCAATTTATACGAATATTCTATATAAAAATGAAATCCAGGTTTATGGCAAATGTCTGATATTCAAAGTGTTGGTACCAGAGACCTTCATGAGCCTGGCTGGCCCGTGGCCCGCAGACCCATACACGGACCATAGGCCGGATATGGGTCTAATATATTTTCTAGCGGGCTGGGCCGGGCCTGGATTTACAAAAAATTTTTTAATAGGCTTGGGTTGGGCTTGGGTCTAAAATTATTAAATTTAGATTTAGATTAAAACGACTGCTAATTTAAAGAAATATTGCCCTTTTTTTCTTCTAACAATAAATTTCAGTATTATAAACAAAATTATTGCCTGAAATATATTTAAAAATTGTTTATTTATATTGAAATTAAATTTTGGATATGGACTTGGGCCGGGTTTGGGAAATTTTTTTGAAACTTATTATGGGCTTGGGAATTTTTTTACCATTAGATATGGGCCGGGCCGGGCTTGGGCCTAAAAAAATTTACTGTGGGTCTGGGCCGGGTTTGGTCAAAAATTAAAACAAATGAAGTCTCCGGTTGGTACTACATGTAAGCTAGAATTATATTTCCGGTTGAATCTATTTTTAAAATTAAAAATTCGCTTTCAAATAATGATTTAAAAAAATTAAAAGATTTCGAATCCCCACGAATATCCATTTTCCAATATGGCATATATATCTAATCTGGAAGTTTTTTTTAATAGTAAATTTCGAAATTTGAATCATATATAATGGTGCATTGATTTAGAAGGATGGATCAGATTTTGCCAGAATCGTATTCAATCATGTATATAATATAAATCTATGAATTTCAGACAATTTTGCCATAAACCTTTAAACTACACTCTTAATTTGTATTAATGTTACATAGAAAATTTTTCATAAAAAATGGAAAAGAAAAAAAAAATTAAAAATTAAAGGCAAATGTCCTATCTTACCTCTAAACAGAAATCACTTTGAGCCTTCTATATAAATTCCTCTACTATTTAGATTTACTTACATACTTGAAAGAAAAAACAAAAATAGGGTGTTTCCATTTCGAGGAATAAGTTTCAAAAAAAGACTTACCAGGACAAAAACGACGAAATTGGCTAAAATTCACTAGAGAACGATTCTTGTTAAATTTGGATTTTTTAAAAACAGCTGTATTTGATAATTTTCTGAGTTTCTACAAGGTCGATAGCATCGACGTTAAGATAGGGTGAAGTCCCAAACCAGAAGCTGACACCTTGACCCAAGGAATTAAGGGCATTCCATCAGGACGTTCGCCATCGGTTCTTAATGGTGAAATGTCTATGAATTTAAGTGCACGCAAAATGAGTCACACTGAAAAAGGTTTCGACGCGGGAACCAATGTCTACCCTTGCTATCTACTCTAGTTTTATAATGTTTAAATCGGTAAGGTAGAACAAATTTATAGTTGAAGCCATGATCTAATAACAAATCTTAGCTCATCAGTGGAGAGCAGCAAATCGATATTGTTGCTGGTGAAAAACTGAGATTGTCATCGTGAAGGCTCGATTTTAGATAAGGAGTCCTCATTGAGTGGAAAATATCCCAATCTTTCTGTGAACAAGTGGAAGGTATATACAACATTTTTTTGGGTTAACATTTTAAAATTTTATTACGTTTTCCAATCTAAAGTTTTCGTTTTTTTTCAACAGATAAATTATTTCGCAATTATTATTTTTTATTTATGTTAGCTATCGGTTAAAAAATTTGTTATTTTATGGTCTAATTTCTTGTTAGTGAGGGGTTAAAAGAAATATTTCTTTCATCCTTCTGCGAGATTTAAAAAAATCCATACTTTTTGAAATTTTTAGGTTTAAATTGAACTCAGTATTTTTATCAGGAATCTTATTAACATTTAAATTCAATGTAAGAAAATTATTTAAGTTGTTATTTGTTTCAAATGGTATAAAGGGTTTTATTTTTTCTTTAAATAATTTTTATAAATTAAAAGAATAAATATTTATTTTCAACCAAGAATTTGGAGAGCCAGTCTGGGGCCTAAAGATATGATAAAATAAAAGTTTGTAGTGTAAATAAAAATTTTAATTCTTTTTTATCCTACATTTATTCTTTGATATTTTTTTGAAGACTTATTTAGGTAAAAAAAAATCATCAGAAGGTTAAATTCAGGAGGATATTAATATAAAATATCACCTTTTCTACACTTAGGAAAAAAGTCCAGAATTCAGCATGTAAAAATAAGTTAATTGTTATATAAATTATTTGTAAATTATGGTTATATAATTAAAAAATGTTATAAAATTTCAGAATTTTCAATACCTTATCTTGTTTTTAAAAGGTTGATATTTTTTTTAAAAAAATATTTACCATGATCATCCATATTAATTTATGATATTTAGAGCTGATGTAAAAATACAATTAAAAGAAATAATTGGAAAAACTTTCCGAATTAATCTGCTTTAAATCAGAAACCGGTCCGACCTTACAAGCCTGATCCAACTTCGATGTGACACATTTGGGGGTCTCCTTTCGATTCCTATCATCTCTCTGTCAGGAATTTTGTTTGGTTACAGCTTCAAATACCTATATTTCATTAATCTGATTGAAAAACCCTTAAAAGGCTTCTATCCTTACATGTGAAAAGTGTTACTTTTTCTTAAATTTACAGACACACCGCTATAAGTATTCTCTAAGTTAAAAAATAATAATTTTGATATCATGAATATATGGTATAAATTTATTATAAAAATTTTTCTTGTTTTCAATATTGCAGCAAAAAATACAAAAATTTAACTTTCTTGTTTATAATATTAACAAGTTTTCATATTGTTAAGAAGTTAATCCTTAAAGATTATGTATGGGTAAAATAAAAATTAAAGGCTTATTATTTTGACCTCTCATTCTTTTCGCATAATATAATAAATATATATATATATCTATTTCTATTCTATTTACAATTGAATGATTATATGATTGAACAAGATTTTGATAATACATAGCATTATTTAACTGAGGAAATGTTTTATTTTGTTATTACATATAAAAAAAAATATTATATATGCAAAGGATTCAAAAGTTATGAATTTAGATTTTAGTTTAACTTTTTATATGTTAAATTCTTCTTAATATAATCGATTTCTTACCTAATTATATCGCCGTTTATCATCAAAAAATAAAAAATATATATTATTTAAAAAAAAAAATTGATATGTCAATTAATGTTACAAAATGTTTATCATAACCAAACTTTATACTGATATTTGCAACTAGTAATAAATAATTTAATAAAAGTTGTTATCAATACAATGTATAAAATTTAGTTTTGCTATATATCCTGATTCTTAGCTAGACGGGCTTGGAATTTCTAATGATTTACCATAACTATCCCTCAAAGTCAAAGCAAACTGTTATGTATATTTTTTAAATGTTTCGCTTCATAGAAAAAAAAAATTTTTTTTTCTAAATAAATGTGGGTTATATTTAATGACGGTCAACGGTCCAATTTTTTAGGTTATGTCCAAACTTAGTCTTTGTACCCGGTATTCGGTTTTTGTAAACCGAAAATTGTATATTTTTATAATATTATTCTTATCTGAAGAATGTTAAGCTTTTATTTATCCAAGTTTCTATTCGTGCAAAATTCGACTTTATTTTATATTAAAATTTTTTCCAATGGATCTGCTGACGGGTAATTTTTAATCTTTTGTTGATTACTTTTTCAGAATCCTTCTATTCTAAAAAAAAACATTATTTTATTTTTTTAGAGTAGAATCATTCTTGACTACAGGAGTATTCCCTACGATATTGCAATCAAAATGACTGTAGCAACTCTGAAACAGTAAAAGATTTATATCGGATATTATTTAGGGAATCTTGATTTTTATTACAACAAATTATAAATTTTAATAGTTAATTATTCGAATTATTTTACAGTAAATTTCCATCAGGTCCCGCTATGAACTTATTGTTAAATTCAAATCTAATAAATGATTTAATAGATCGACTGGTTAATCTCGATCTCAAACAATTTACAGTGCTGAGCAATTCGTTGTCACTGAAGATTGCTCTATGAGGGTTAATCATAAATTACATATAAACATTAAACCAACTTGTGGTTTCATTGCTTTCTATTACTTATTTCGAAATTAAATGATAATTATTGCTATTCATTCAAAATTTAAACTTTTTTTTAAAAAAACTCTTTTATACCAAGTATAAACAAATTTTTTAAAAAATGTATCAAGATATAAATGAAAAACTTAATGAAGTGTTAATACAAATTAAATAGAAAAATTTTATATTATGGAAATTTCGCTTTTGTAATATTAAATAAAAACATTAAAAAGAGAAGTTTAGGTTAATTACCACAGAAAATTTTATTTTTTTAAAAATATATATATATATATAAATTTTTGAAAGCTTTTCAATTTAATTGCTTCAAATATTTTTGACAAAATACATAATTTCATTTTTGTTTGATAAATATTTTTTTTTACATGCAAATTATTTATTATCTATATTAATAGATCAAACAATTAAGTTTTATTTGAGCTTTAATGTGATGCTGATTTGTATAAAGTAAATTTGTAATCTTTTGTAGCGCATTATATTCGATACTGTTAACTACTAGCTAATGCAATGACTTGTCTTAATCCTATTTGCTTACCTAACTGGCATATATCTCAAGATATAATGTACACATTAATCACTACCAGCGCCTTAATCATAAATTTTATTTGGGGATGTGGAGGGGGGGGGGGGGGGGTGGCATTGGAAGAAGCAATTTATTTTGGTTATGTCAGAAATTGCATATTACATTCATATTCGACCGGAAGTGGCATGTGCTTTTGGTAATTTTTTTAAAATGAAAATTATAGAATTAGTAGGTTAAAAAATTCCATGAAGCTTATGATGATATAATAAAAGGGCTAAGATTATTGCAGGATAGTGATAATCGTATCATTTATATAATAGGTAATAAATGATAATAAAAAATGTGCATTATATTATAGGAAAATATAAATAATTATTAAATGATTAAATTAGTTCGTTTTATAAATCATGATTTATGTATTAAGTAAAAATTATCAAATAGGATAATTTATGATTTCTTGTATATTTTTTTTTTAATTACAATTCCTCTTCTAAATGTTTAGAAAATGGTTAATAAACCCCAAAATTTGCAATATTTCGTTGGGAATAGCCAAATTTTTCTTCTCCAAAGTCAATCCGTAATCTTGATAACTAACCACGAAAAGCTTTACACCCTGAGGAAATTGAGCAATATAAGCTATCTAACCTTAAAATTTAAGGATTCCACTTTTTCCCACATTTTGTAAATAAATCTATATTGAAAAAAAAAAGATCATTTTAAAGCAAAACTCTCTTCTTTTAAAGTATGATATGAATAAATAATATTCTTATCAATCATCAAATTTTTATGTCTATAAATTCTAAATTTGATTCAAATACAAGTGTCCAAAACATAAAAAAAAAATTTTAATTCAAGAACTAACTTAAATAGGGCTAAAACATATTTGTGAAATTTTCAAAAGATTTCCTTAAAGTTTTATAACTTATTTGGAATAGAAATTTATTCATATAATTCATCCAGCTTCCTGTACTACAAATTTTAATCATCATGTTGCATTTAAGTTTTGACATATCTCCAATTAATAAATAAGATATCCTACATATAATTTTCTTCAATATGCCCAATGTCATGTTTGGGTAAATAATATTTTATGGAAAAATATATAATTTAAACGGGATTAGTCGGCTCAATTGTTTTCTCTCAGCTAACTGGCAATAAAACTGTACAAAATGAAGTTAAGAATTGAGTTTAATATAATAAAAATGTATTTATTGCTCAATCCTTAATCTATAAAATAAAATTTGAATCAAAGCTCTTACATATTTCTTAAGGTAAATGAGTTTAGAGTTATTTTTTCGGGTCAATATACGTGGCATGTTTTGACTGGTCATAGAAATATTTTATTTTTTTCTTTGATAATTAGTTTCAGATATTTTTCTTTATTGTTTTCAACTTTATCATTATAAATATGAAATAGTAAGAATATGGGTATATAAAAAGCTAACTTTCATATTTTAATTAATTTAAGTATTCAAAAAACCGAATTGTAAGCTAATTTAATACTAACATCAGTTTATCACTAGACTTCATCTATTTAACGATAATATTTTTACTTCGATTATCCTAAAAGCCTTTAATATTTGTATAAAATATTAGTAATTTGAAATGAGTAATTTTTTCACCAAGCGAAAAATGAATAATGTGATTTTTCTAGGAGGTGCTAAAATCTATATCTTTTTAAAAAATATTTTTTGGATTGCTTAATGGAATAGATGAACATATGTAGAAACATCTTAACTATTTTTGAGAGCTATTGGTTCAATTAGATAAAAATATAGATGGAATGCTCAATCTATGCATATGGTCATTTACGGCACTACATCTCTTAAACTGGCTAATTAAACCTTTTAGAAATTACTAGACTGAAAACTTACATTAGTTGGAAAATATCTGAACGAGCGCTACTCACTTGCTGCCTTAAATTAAACAAATTTAATTTTTTTTTTAACCAAATTTACAATATAAAATATGTTGGGAACTGGCTCTTTTTTCTTTTTTAACCCTTTATATAACTAGCTAATTTATACAGATTAGTGAGGTAGCCAGAATTTATTTATGGGGGGTGGAGGGGGGTTGGTAAAATTTTTTAAACCCCCATTTTCCCGGACTTCTGCCAGATCCCTCCTATAAATAATTATGATTATATACTGATTTCTCCATGGTCCTCTTTATATCATAATTGGCTGAATAATTGGAAGCATTCATTCTAGACATAGGGAATATTAAATTACCAAGATTATTTTAAAAAAAAATTAATGCATATTTGTCATTCAAAAACAATTAGGCAAACTGCAAATAAAATATTTTTAGCCGGTTTGTTAGGCAGTTTGGAATACGAATAAGTGAATCCATAATTATGATAATAAATTATCATTTCAACGATCAATACTGCACTCGTTCCGTTTATCTCAGAATCTTCATATATTCTAAGTGTTGGATCTTAAAATTAACCTAAATACACTTGAATCAATCCTTAATCTTACATTTTCATTTCTCCCTTGGATACCTCAATCCCATCTAAATCCGTCCGTTCACCATTATCACTCTATATCAACTTTCCTTTCGCCTCGTGTAATATTTAATGAAACCCTGGGGGATTCTCACATTGTTAATTCTCATAAGGCCAACACGCCTGGCATCTGGAATGTAAACGCCTGCCCCAAATAGTTCATACCTTATAATTTAATCATTTTAGAAAATTATTTGTGGCGCATGGTGAAATTCTATTTTATTTTTTAAAAAATCAAGAACAAAATGGAGTTATAATAAATTCTAGAAACCTTTTTAATATAAATTGCCGCTTAATAAAATTTAAAATCTAAAAATTATATGCAAGTCAATATATAAATAATTTTACAATTTAATAAATCTAATTTTTTCAGGAAAATAGCGAATTATTAACTAATCAAATGATGGCGGAAGGCGCCAATTTGCTCCAATTAATCGAGGAAAATACTCTGTCAGTCAAACCTAACCATACTTTGAGGCTTTTAAAAGAGGCCATTGAACATGTGTCGGAAGGTAAACCCTTAGATGATAATATCGATTCGAAAGCGAAAGGTTCGATCAAATTGGTAGAAAAGATTTTGATTCCTCAGAAAGAATTTCCTTTCATAAACTTCAAAGGTCATCTACTTGGAGCTGGTGGCAAAATTTTGAGAAAGATTCAAGTTATTTCGATACTTTCTTAATGAATCCCATTTATTTTACCTACCATGAAAACGTCTTGTTCTAGAAGCCGTTAGGACTTGCTTCTTTCACTCTGCGTTTAAGACCTCATTTATAGTAAACGCGTTATGTTTAAGCGTTGCTTTATTTAAAGCAGCGTTATTACAAAATTAAGTCAATAAATCGGTTTAAATGCATAAATATGAAGCGTTATGATGATAAGGCTATGATAAAATTTTAAAACATAAGTTGCTATGCGTTGATAAAAAATAAGCGATACGTTTATAAAAATATTTATCTAGCTTAATCTTAAATTAGTTCCCAAAACTGAACCAGCTGTAAATAACGCGAAGCTTGAAGATAGCGCGTTTACCATAAATTCAGCGTAAAACCTATTTTTATATATTTTTGTAAAATTACTTTTTTTTAAAAAAATGTTTTTGCATTTTCCTGCGTTATGATTATGTGAAATAATTTAAATGTACTAAAATTATAATAATTTATAGCTTGATTCAAATTTTTACTCCTTAGAATAATATTATTAGGCTTAAAAAAACATAGAATTTTATTACCTTTAGACCTCATTTATAGTAAAAGTATGTTCAAGCGGTGGATTATTTATAAAATCAAGCCAATAAATATGTATAAATTAAATATGGAGTATGATGATGACGCTGATAAAATTTTAAAACATATGTTTCAAGGCAAATTTCATATTAACGCTATTAAGAATCAGCTCTGATTTCGATAGCGTTAAATAACGCAAGACTTGAACATAACGCTTACTAAAAATGAGGATTTAGTCACATATATAGGCAAAATAAAATTAATAGGATTATATAATATTTGCTCGAAAATCTAACAGTCTTGGCTTTTAACCGATTTGAAAGAAGTGAAAAAATTTAGCCTAGAACGAGTTTTGATGTTAAATTTCATCTGATATAAATTCATACTTTTTTAAAAAAAATAGGATGAAACGGAAAGCAAAATCATGATATTAGGCGCTGGTTCAATGAAGGATAACGCGATCGAAGAGGAATTAAAGAGGAGCGGAAATTCCATGTACAAACATTTAGAAGAGCCATTGCATATATGCGTAGTCTCGGAAGGGCCACCCATGATTGCCTTTACAAAAATGGGCTTATCTTTAAAAGAAATAACTAAAGTAATTTGGCCAATTTTATCCATTCATTAAAAATGATAGTTTTGAGCCGATTTTTCAAAAGGGTTAACTCATTATTTTAGCCAAAAAATAATGCTTAACTTGAGATTTTGATAATATATGACTAAGGCCGCATTCATAGTGGATCCGATCAGACACGATTTAACAGCTGGTCGATTTTTAAAATCGGATTATGAGAATAAATTTTTCTTTATTAAAACCAATATTTCTTAAGTAAAATTAATGTTATTTTTTTAAAAAATTGATCTCATAAACATATGTTAAAAATCGATCAGCTGTTAATTCGTGTCGGAATCGGATCCACTATGAATGCGGCCTAAACCTTTGTTCATTCTATGAGCAAATTCTTCAGGCTTGCGTAATATTTTCCTGGATGAAATATTGAGTTAGCCGTTTTTAAAAATTGTCTCAAAACGAGCCGTTTAACAACACTAGTTTGATATGTAAGTGAATATTTCATTAGAGACCTCACTTCACAACCCCAAATCCATTTCGTAAATAAAAATTGTTAAATCTGGGCCCAGAGAGATTTTATTATAACTGGAATTAAGAAATATATCTGAAACTCTATTTAGTGCCAAATCTTCTGTTTTTTTTCCATATTTTTAAATGACATTTAATTAGGAAAGAAGAATTGGGATATGTAAAAATTAATATTTTTTGGGACTAAAAAGGTTACACTAATATTTTTTTTGTGTTGAGGTCAGGGTTGCCAGATATTTGTCCCCCTAAAAGTGAGTTCTTCTTTCGCCTCCATACTCCCCAATATGCGGGTCGTCGGCCCACTTTTGCCCGGCATTCGGCCAGGTTTATCGAGATAGCATACTTATCTTACTTAATATGTTATATTTAATACATCAAGATTTTTAAGATATTAAATTTATTTTTCTTATTGTTTAACTATTAACAATTATCATGATATATAATTATCCCATGTTTAAATATAGCATAATATTAATTAATATAATTTATGGAGGATTTTGAAAGAGGCAATAACCATTTTACATTGGCGCTATGGAAATAGACTGAAAACTTTTTGAATAAATCATTAAAATTTTGTTTAATCATAAGTTCAGCTTTTACATTCTTTTCGCCAAGCAATAGTCAGTAGGCTGAATATTCTCTCTGAGCATTTGAGTCTGGAATGGAAAATTAAAAATATAAAATTGCATATTTTCTCTATTTAAGGAGTGTTATTGTTTGAAAGGACATCCATTCCATTTTTCTTGCGCATTCATGTGATTGTTTTTGGATAATTTGTCGCAGTAAAGGAATAAAAATGTGAATATTTCTCAAAAAGAATATCTGAATCCGCATTTGGTATTTTATAATTAATAATGATTTTTTGAAATTCATCTACTGCTGGAACATTTTTCTAATTAAATTATCTATAATATTAGAGCGTTTTTTTCTACTTTTTCGTGATCATTATTACACTGTAAAATGTTTATGGAAATGCAAAATTTTGTTGAATTTTTAAATTAAAAAAATTATTAAGTTTACTGACAAGTCCAGACATCTTCAGATTGTAGTTGTAAATAGGGCTGCGCCGATATTAAATATCGGATAGGCACCGATATTTTTTAAAATACCGATCATTTTTATAGTTTTGGGTTATTTTAGGATTGTATATAAATAATTATTTTGATTTAAATTATATAAATTATTTTATAATAAAAAATTAATGAAAGGAACTGAAATACTATTTATTTGTTGTAATGTTTAAAAAAGTAGTTAAAATGGTGCAATATTTTTTGTTATATTATCTGCAACAATAAAATGATTTAGTGGCTAATAAGTCACATTCATCTAGTGTTGTTAAACGGCTCGAATTTAGCCAATTTTTTAAAATGTTTAACTCAAGATTTTGGCCAAAAAGTAAATTTACTCAAGCTTATTGATTTTGCCCACATATGGCAGAAAGGTATTGGCGAAATTTCGAGGTTTAGGTAATAATATTTTAGCGAAAATATTCATTTAGCTCTTCTTAAAAATCGGTCAAATGGAGCTAAACATTGCAAGTCTTTTAAATGAGATTTAACTTTTGGAGAATAAAAAAAATAAAATACACTTAATCATTCGTGAAAGTTAGTTGGTTTTTTTTAAAATAGAACAAAAAAATATAAAAACAAACAAAAATCCCTTACTCTCAACCTTTCCTAAACTTAACCGGTAATATATAGTGCTGTAAACATTTTTAAAAAAATCGAACGCGTTCGCGTTCAACGTTCATTGACAAAAATCGAACGCGTTCACGTTCAAATTCAAAAAAAGGAACGCGTTTAAGTTCATGAACGCGTTCATGCGTTCAAAATTTTATGATAAATTTTTTTTAAAATTTAATTTAATATAAATAAATGCCTTATATTTTTCAAAACAATATATTAGCCATGATAAAAAATAATAGTTTTATTTTGATAATATAATTATAAATACAATATAATAGAGCGATAAAAAAATAAATTTATAAAAAAATTTTCTTATTAATTTTTAATAATAATTGCTTTTCAAAATTTTCAAACGCTTGGTTAATACAGCGTTAGCTATACTAAAAACTCGCTCAACAGGGGCGGATGAAGGGATTGCGGTGTTATACTTGATAAACAATTCCTTTAAAAGGGGGAATTTATTAAAAACATTTAATGTTTTATCCATTGTTTCAAAAAATTGAGCTATGTTATCATCCTCCAATCTGCCCTCTTCTTCCTCGTCAAATAAAAAGGATATCTCGGAATTGATTTTAAAACAGTGAAATATTTTTGATATTTGGGCCATGGTAATTCTAATTCATCTAATATTGAATTTTGATTTTCAGAATCTGATGATGAAATATTTATATCCATGCAAATGCTAATCTAATAAATTAAAATATAAAATATTCAAATTAATAAACTTTAATCTTATCTTCTCTAGCAGTAGCACTATAGTACGTTAATTGCAATATGAAAAAGGAAAAAGTAAAAACAGCTGATTAAAAAATATAAGACTTTTTTGTTAAAAAATTGGATTAAATATTAATTTTTCAAATAAATAAAAATATAAAACTTTTTTGTTAAAAAATGCGGATTAATATTAATTGTTCAAATAAATAAAAAGTGTTTTTTAAAATTGAACGAACATAAAATTGAACGCGTTCATCAAAGAAAAGGAACGCGTTCACGTTCAAAGTTCGTCAAAAAAAAGGAACGCCGTTCATCACCTTTTTTCAAAAAAACGAACTTCGTTCACGAACGCGTTCATTTTGAACGCGTTCGTTTACAACACTAGTAATTTATAATTGGATATTTTTATGACATGAAAAATTTGTGGATTGGCACAGCCCTAATTGTAAATTTATGTTATTTAATTAAGTGCCAACGTTAAGGATAATGCCTAAAAGCCTTTTAAATTAAAAATTTATCAATGAATAAGATTGATTGGTTGGACATTAACAAATACTATAATTTTTTTAAATATTAAATTTTATATTTGTTACTAAAAATATTTTGAAAAAATTTAAATAATTTGATAATATTTCAATTTGATCAAAAAACCTGAGTGTAAGAAAATGTGATTGGGTAAAAAATTGGGAATGAAATTGTGAGTCACGGCTATACCTAAAACGAATTATTTGTTATTCGATATTCGATTCGTATTTTACGAATACGAATAACACAATTATTCGATTCGAAAATTCGAATCGAATTCGAATAAGAAAAATATATTATTCGTTGAATAATTTTTTGATCGAATTATTCGAGATTATTCGACTAAAATAATTTATAGTATTAATATATAATGGAAAATAATCATATATAAATCATATATTATTATTAGGAATTATTTGAAATTATTTCAATTTAATAAAATCTCCTAGTGGAATTATGAAAATTGCGCCAAATTTTGAAACTCCATTTTAATTTATCTCATAATACACCATTACTTTAGAAATTTCTTTTATGATAGAGATGGACGAAGAAGGTAATTTATATAACACATAACATATACAATTATAATAAACTGTTAATCCCATCACATCAAGAATGACGGGCAAACCTGATATTTCTCTTTCATTTGATGATGGAGAAATCATAAATTTGACTTTTTGCCTAAAGTTTTTACCACTTTATTTGTAAAATATTGCTAATGCCGTGTTATCTAAAATGGCGAGGGACATATTGTCGATACAGGGATCTTCAACCCCATGTGAGTGACTCTTTTCTGTGGGAGCTCATATGGTTACAAAATACAGAATGCCGTTAAAGGAGGAAACAACCGAAAAACTTTATGTTTGAAAAATTGGCTGTTGTCAGATTTATCTTCTACATTATAGATATGAATATCATATTGATTTTTCCACATTGTATATAAATATATTATATATGTATGCTTCTATTTTGTCTCACTGATAAAATTTGTTTGTCTTTATCCTTAGTTAAATTTTACAAAATAAATTTTATAATAGATCTTTTTTAATTCATGGTAAATAAAATTCGAATTGAATCAAATAATCATTTTATTATTCATACGAATACAAATAATAAATTATTTGATTTATTCGTATTTTTGTAGGTATAGTCACGGCTAAATTGTGACATCTGACAACCCTGGTTATGACTCTATTTCTATAGTAAAATTTTATGCATTTTATAGGAATTATAAGTTAAATGGGTTCTCGTCAAAATAATTTGTTTTTGATAATATTGATGTTATATATTAATTTTTTTAAATTATAATTATGGCAAGATTCTATTTTCAGCTTTACTAGATGATATGCCCATACAAGAGAAGCCATTAGTGGAACAAGTCTGCAAAAACATTGAAACAATGGATAACCAAAGAGAATTACTTTTTAGTTGGAATATTATAAAATAATAATGATTACAAAAAAATATTAAACATTTTCATATTATCTTGTAATGATAAATTAATACTAATCTTAACCATGTTATCTATTTTTCACTTTATGGAAAAATGAAATCAACGAAATTTATAAAACTTATATTACATTAAAAATTTTTAGATGACTAACATAAAAAATGTATATCACAATATTCTGAAAAATTTGCTCTTGTGCATAATCATGACTTATATGTTATAATGAATGGCAATTAAAATAAATATATATTACAATAAATTATACTTAATTTTTATTTGAGTTTTTCAGTGCTAATATAATTGTATTGTCATTTTATTAAAACAGTAACAGATTAATTGAAAAGTGTTTCTATGAATCTTTGTAAGATACTGAAAGTTTGTGTGTGTATTTCTTTTCTTGAGATCTAAAATATGTTTATTGGTGTTTTTTTAGATAATAAACCTAATATTATGTCTCAATAAAAAAGTTTTAATATTTTGAATTTCACATTTGTTTTTTAATAAAACTATTAAATTATTATGCATATGAATTCTAACTAAAAATGGTATGTGCATATATTTATAAATAGCTTAAAATTAAATGTAAACCCATCATAGAGTTCCTCATCTCTAGCTCTTTGAGAATCATCAACATATACAGAATTTTTTGAAAAATAATCAGACATGCGTCTTGCATTGTTAACCAGTCTTTCTGAGTAAGTTGGTAAGCCTAATTTCTTCTTTTCATGATCATCAAAATATGTTCCAATTGCACCCAACAACACAGAAGCACTGGCAAAAAGAGCATAGTAAAGAGCTAACTTACCTTTTCTTTGCAAGGCTTTACTTGTCAAATCGCGTCTAAGCATTTGCAGTTAATACCCAGAAATAATAAATTCAGAATAGAAATATTAAATTTTGTATCAAATCCATTCATAAATGTGAATGATATTAACATTGAGTGACATGGTCACGTTTAGATCAATCATCTAATTAGATATGATACTCTAATATATTAAATTTATTATAGCTACAACCTACATGTTCTCATCACATTAATGGTTTCTAGGAATATTTGACAATTTGATATCTCACTAAGTAAATCCTCCATAAAAGGTTCTAAAATCGTATACCACCAAAGAAATATTATAATCTTGCTCAAATTTTTGAACTAGATCTCGCTCAAAAATCTTCAAAGAAGATCTGTACAACTCTGGTGACTCCTACACTTTCTGAGCAATGAAGCAGAATACCCCACTGAAAAGTACCCCCCCCCCCTCGAAAATGATAATTATTTTATGACACCCATAAATTCCAAAAATATTTTTATTGCATCAATTTTTAATATATAATAATAAAAAAAATTTACTTTATAAATATTATATTTAAATTAATAATTTAGATAAATTAGGGGAAGAGAAAGGGAATTTATAATTTTATCAATATTTAATTGTTAAATAAATTTTTTTCCATTGATAATATGGTTAAATTATTGAGAAATTAATCTTTCATGGTACTACGAAGTCTTGTTTTAATTAATTTAATTTTACTCATGACTCTTTCGGCAGTACATGAGGTTGTAGGAAGTGCAGCATATAACACACCTATTTTAAAGTTAAAAAAAATTTTTATATTTAATGATGAAAGTATATATACCTCTCCTTTTTGGAATGTAATGTTTGAAGTCTAAAACTTTCAAAATCAAAAGGTAAATTTCTCTCCTTCATAAAATCTTTTGCCTTTGAAATAACATCCAAAAATTTAGTGTTATTATATATTAGATTAAAAAATAATTAAGTCAATAATTTATATTATACTTTTCAAATTAATCAAGCAATCTTTTGCCAATTGAATTTGATTTATTGCAAACCCATATCCTTCAAAATGGTTTGCAATTTTGTACAAGCCAAACTTGTTATCAATATTATTTATCCAAAACACAAAGTGATAAGATAAAATCAAATTTTTCTATTCTAAAGACTATAGCACTAGCCATAGTGGAAGTGGCAGGATCTTCAGAATCCTTTAAATTTGTTAAAGCTGCCCTCAACTCATCTAGTATTCCTAGAACATTTCGAAACTCTTTAATTGATTGGCATAATGGAACAATGATTAAATTTAATCGATGACAATAACACCAAATAAAAGCTGCCTTTGGGGCCTCTGCTCTAATCAAGGCCTGCAGACCATTGATTCTTCCACTCATGTTTGAGGCGCCATCATAACCTTGCCCAACTAGAAATGCAAGGGGTAAATTCATCGAGCCGACTTTGGATATTATATTATGCTTAATACCGAACCTGTGGTATTTCCCGTACAATATATGCCAATCGGTCTTTCAACAGGTTCGGCGTCTCACTATTTTCAACATATCTTACTATCAAAGCTATTGCTTCTGATTTCGAAACATCATATGTGCCACCAACTATGATTGAAAAGCACCTGTTAAATGTAATCTCATTTTGAATTTTTTTTATAACCATATTTTTCTTGGTTTCAATGAGAATATTTATGTTATTATATGATAATAGATTTGAATATAATTTCGTTTTTAATCCATTATTTTTTTTATCAATTTTTCTTTCTTCATTTTGTTGTATATACATTTTTAGTACAGGTTCAGATCTGCAATAAGCTTAATAAGGGTCATCATATTAGAAGGCTTGGTTAGGAGATATTAAATAATCTAAACATCTTATTATAATTCTTATGATAGAACGGTTATTATCTACACATTCTTTCTGGGGTGTTATAAATTTTAATATCAAATTTTTATTGTGAGAAAGCCTTCCATATTCGGCCATCATATGTGCCTGTGAAGATTCATGCAGAATAATTTCACGATTAATATTCTACCATTTATCTAGACCTTCACATGTCCATTTTTAATTTGTGTGTGGACCTCCAAATAAGAGACATGTTAAGCAAAAGACTTTATTCATTTTAATACTATAAGTAATCCAATTTCTAGCAATTTTGCTATTGTCAATATTAGTTTTTTCATAAAAGCTTTCATTAAAGGATCTGTTTCTATTATTATTATCTTTGGGGAATAAATAATGTGTAGGTTGAGCTTTTAATTCTAGATATTTATCAATTATAAATTTGTCAATTCTTTTTCCAACAATATTGATGGGATCATTTGATTCCTAAGAAAAGAGAGGGAGGGAAGTTAAGATATTTAAATTAAAATATGAATACTACTATCTATTCATATTATGCTTAAAAAAAATTAGAAAAATTTCCGTCAATATATATTAAATTAAATATTAAGTTGGGGGGGGGGGGGGTCTTATTATTACATTTATAAACCATTAATAACTTGATCATGTTGGATGTAACAAAACAGTAAAAGAATTAAATAATAAAGAAAATTTAAAAAAAAATTTTTTTAAAAAGGTACCCCCACTCAAGTTTACTGAAGCAGTTGCTTCGGATCACCCCCCCCCCGTTGTAGAGGCCATTGGACATATATGCCATATCTGGGTGTTTATGATTTGTAAAAGCAAACCAGATCTCTCTAATTATGAACTGTTGTTTTTAAATTTTTAGTGTTATGTTAATTTACATATAAAATTATTTAATTTATACTAAGGTATTATATAGCATAAATTATAGATCAAGTTATTTTGTATTAAACTATTAATTTATAAATGTATTAAAGATGTTTAAATTCATAGATAGTTAGTTGTTAAAATTTAAAATTAAATAAATAAAAATAAATTTCATACCACTTTCGTATTTTTATCTTAGGCCCTATCTTAACATGTAGAATGATCTATATTTAGAAAATTTGCCCGATATCTAGTTTTAGAGGGAAGATCGAATACTATTAACTTTAGAGCAGAATGTCAACTTTTTCCCCATTTAAGTGGAAATGCAATTGAGCAGTTAAATGGGATTCCTAATTGGAGAGATATAGAATTTCCATCAAAGATTTTAGATTTTTGAAGTAATTTATTTATTTGTATATACACATCAGTGAAGTATTTAAAAATTTGTTGGGGGAGGGGGGGGGTACGATTTTTATTTTATGTTTTATTAAAAATTATTATAATACATATAATCTAGTTATTTTATTACGAATGAATAAATTCTTTATTTATATTATATGTTAACAAGATAATAAAATCCACCGATATTAATAGAATTAAAAAATATATGAATTAAAAATTTCCTTGTTTTCTCTGGGCTGTATTCTTTTCTGAAAAGATTTCATTTTTTCGAGATGATTCATCCATATTTTGATAAATAGATCTGGAATCCATTATGATACTGAAGGTCTTTAATATTTATAAAAATTAAATCAGACATATTGTATTCTTAACCGCTCGATTATCTACCATGATCTATCATAAGATGAAAGCCTCTTTTACATTAGACAGTACCACAGGATAAATATTCATAGAGTTAAGTTATTTTCAAATTTATGATTAGAAATATCTTTATCGATATATTATCGAACCCCGGCAATCGTTTTATATTCATTTACTTTAAATTTTTGCTAGATTATTTATTTGTTTGCTAAATCTGCATTTAAATTCTTAGGCCTATTTTCTTTCTGAATAAAGAATATATCGGAAACAATTTCTAAACTAGAAAAGATAATTTGTTTCAAATTTATTCAAATCATCTTACCCTCACAAAACTATTCATTAAACGGAACTACGTGTATTTTCTGAGTAATTATAATTAGGTCCATTTTTTATCATATACAATTTTAGATATTAATAAAAATGTAATTTCTGAATCGAACCACATTTGTAAATATTTACTTATACATATGGTTTACATCAATGACATATAATAATACCTAGCCTGACGATTCATTCATTAAAATGCATTTTTAAGCGTCGTTAAAAGCAAATCAGCTGGACCCGCCATTTTGGTAACCTTTATAATAATTATTTTCATGTTAAAAACTAATATTAAATTGATAACTTACTTTCTTATTATCTCGATGATCAGGCAATTCTTTAATAAAGTTTGCATCAGATATAATATAAAATTAGGCTCTCGTTTAAAATTTTAATATTTATTACAGTAACCAAGATGGCGTCTCTAGCTGATTTGTATTGATGTACACTTTTAATGAATGAATCGTCAGTAAAGGTATTATTATATGTCATTGATTTACATGGAATAGTGGGTAGGAGTGATATGATTTAATTTTTATGAAGAGGGTAGGGGATAAATATCAAAGATGGGTAGGGAAACAATTTTGTAGATTATAGATATAAAAAAATGAATTAATTTATTAATAGATTTTTATTTCTTATTTATTTACAGATAATATATTATTGTACAGGTTTAAATTGTAAACTCACATGGCTAATGGGTTAACAACAGCTATAATCACCAATTAATGTTTATTTCTTATTCCTTGGCTTAAATTATCAAAGGGCCTAAAAAACCTTAATTAAAATCTTTTAGGTTAATAATGATGGTTCATTATAAGATTTTTCAATTGAGGGTTGTTATAGTAAAATGGGTAGATAATTATTGAGGTCGGAGGCCGCGATTTTTTTAGTGGGGAGGTTTATTTTGGAGGGAATTTTCTTCCAATAAATTGGCTCTCATGTAGATGCTGCCTACATAATTTTTATTATTGTCAACAAGTTCCTAGTCATTTATTTTTTTATAGATTAGTCAAGCAAAAATGATTCGCCGAAAATATCTATATTTGTTATTTCCTTCAAAATTTATTAATCTTAACAACTAATAACCTTCTTCAGCATCTAAATGACAATATATTCACTGGGAGTTTCATTAACCTTTCTATTCCCCCCCCTCCTCCTCTTATAAATTTCCTACGCCCTTGCCAATATTCTTACTTTATGACTTACATTTTTTTTAATTATAAAATGGTACCACGCTCGTTCTATATTTTAAAAAGAATAACTTAAATTATCAATACTCTATTACAAACTATCAAAAATTGTGAATGTTGATTATTTTTTAAACAAGCATTTTAAAAAACTTCATTTAAGTTTAGTTTATTATGTGGCATGAATGTGAATTTGCTGATTGAATTTCAAACCCTCTAAGTTACATTTATAAAATTAGTAGAAAAAGTTACTCAGAAATAAGTTTAATTTGAAAAAAAATGTCTATGATTGTATGCTATATAGATTTGGTTGATGCAATATAACATTATTATAATAGGTCTATAATAGACGGCCTTAGAAAAAAGTTTTTAATATATAAGATAGATTAGAAGAGTTAGTTCACACACAAAGCGAAAGTATATGGGTATGCGGAAATGTTCCCTAAATAAATTTTTTATGCTTGTATTATATGTTTGTAATATTATAAGTAAACGCTTTCCATGTATTGCAGGTTTGATATAAGGTAATTCATAGAAAGAATACTCAAAGGTAGCATAGTCTTCTCTTTCTGAGAAGTATTGAGAGGACTAGTTAAAGTTTAGAGCTTATGCATCTCAGATTTAAAACCTTGGTCGAGTTAGCTATCCGCAAAAAGTGGTAACATTTAAAAAATGTAAATAATTAAATATTCGATTTGTAAGTAAATAAACATAATTAGATCGAATGCCAATATGGCATTTATTTGATATATTTTCGTAAATCTAGTAATAAAGTAACTTATCGATGATTATAAATCTTTTATTTTACATACAAATATTTCGAATCCGTTATTATGGTGAGGGTAAAAACATACGTATGGATAATCAAAAAGTGCTTTATTTTTTAAACCCATTTCTTTGAAGAAAAATAATACTTCATAGCAAAAGTTATCTAACGGGCATGACCATTGTAACAAAAAGTAATATTGGGTTATTCTGACTAGACATTTTTTTGTTAATTTTATGAAATTTTATTTAGCAGGTAAGATATATCCATTTGCAACACTCCTAGTCCTATTACTAGGAAAGGCCTTTCGGGGACCTATTGATAGATCCATACAACAAAATTAGAATGGTTTGCATTCTTTCTCTTATCTCAACACTGCTCCAATACTATAATATATTTTTTACTTCTATTTTTTGGACAACTAACTCGACCAAGGCCTTTTATCTGAGACGTCTATAAGCTAACTTCATCCTCAATACTTCACAGAAAGAGCAAACACTCCCTTTGAGTACTCGTTCCGTACTTTGCCTTATACCTAACCTGCAATCTATGGAAAGCGTTTAAAAAGTATAAATGGCATTCCAAGCCAGAATTCAGAGGTCTATATATTTGGGAAACATTTTCACATATCCATAAGCTTCCGATTGTAATGTACCGTCTAACTTCCCCACAAGGAACAGACATCATCATATATTTCGTAATTTTTTTCATCATCCATTAACAACGTTACAATGCTTACCCAACCTAAATATAATCAAGTATGAGCAAAAGGTAAGATTTTCTCCTGTATTTAGTAAAGGCAAAAAAGCTTTTGAACTAGAACACCCTATTTTGGTTTGTTTTAAGTATTTGATGGCATTGTTATTTTTTAGGTACTTTATTCTCGCTCTTTTGTTATTTATTTTATACGTGAATAATTTTAAAATATTATAATATGAAATTTTATATAAAAAACGTTAAAAAGGAACATACCCTAGAGAGGAGTAAATGTTAAAAATCTGCTGACGAAAGTAGAATTTTGTTAGGGTCGCCTGTAATCTGTCATTGGATCGATGCCTTTCTAAATCAGTGTAGATCTCAAGGGGTAGAGAATTTTGGGAGTATTAAAATAGTTTTTAATTAAAAAAAAGATTTGCAGGAAGATAATTAAATTTTATGCATAATTTAGAAATTTATTGAGGGATTTGTTTAAAAAAATGTTTCCATAGCCTTTTCTCCCTCTATGGGTGAACCGAGATGTATCATCTCATCCCTGCTGATGACATGGTATCGTAGATAGGGACCCTATCTACCATACCATGCATAGGGTCAATGAAATGGATGTAAGAAATAATATCACACTTAAGGTGGTGAGTTAAGGACTATGTGAGAGTTTCTCGATTAAATAGACAAGATTGAGGATTTTTTTTTTTTAAATTTCTTTTATTTGGCTATTTATTTAAAAAAACAAAAAGAAAGAAAAAAACATAACCAAAAAAAACTAGAATAAAATACGAAAAAAACAATGCCACTAAATACTTGAGACAAACCAAAATACAATTTCCTAGCTCAAAAGCTTTTTAACCTCTACTAAAAAGGAATTAAATATCAAAATTAAGTCGACTCAGGAAACGGGTTAATGGATTTTTTCTATTTTAAAATTGACTAAATAACAATTAAGTTTGCTTATGCGACAATATAACTGGTCCTGTCAAAAAAATTGTGGATAGTATTTCTTAACAATTCTATTATTTTTCCCCTATTCGATTGGAAAAAAGAAAATAGAGCCTTATTCTGTGCCCCATCAAAAAAAAACAAAAAAAACAGGCAATAGATTAAATGGATAAAAATAACATATAAAAAATTTATTTCAAAAAATTAAAAACTCAGTAAAAAAAAGGAATTATCGAATATCTTAAAATATTAAAAGAAAAATAAATGAATAAGAAATTTTTTAATTTGGAATTTTTTTTTTTTTTAAACTTTATTATTTATTCATAATCATTAAATTACAGAGGATTAAAAATATTAAAATGGATATATTAAAAATTAAATATAAAAAAAATAAATATATAATATATATATAATCTATGAAGACATTAAAAAGGACTATAAAAAAATATATATATTTAAAAAAAGGGGGGTATATATCATCCAAGAGAAGAGTGAATACTTAAAAAATTAGACCGGCAAATTTCCAGGGAAATCTGCTGGCGAAGGTAAAATCCTTCATTGGGGTCCCCTGAGACGTTTGCATAATAATAATTCTGACCAAACTTTTAAGAAATTACTAGGGTAAGATAAAGAGAATTTTATATCCCTATAATACATAATATAAAAAAAACAAATATTTATTTAAGAAGTTAATAAAGAATTATTTATACATTTATATAAATTATTATTATAATAATTAAAAATCGAAAATATGCTAGCTACCAATTTCAAGAATTTATAAATTTTAAATTTTTCTTGTATTTTTTTTAAAATTTTTAAATGTATAAAATCATGTATTTTTATAAATTATTCATTTATTCAAAATTTGATATATATTTTTTTAAAATATGCCATGGTTTTCGACATTCAATATTTTACTTTATCCTGGACTATGGATTTTTTTTAATCTCATGTCAAGCTAGTGGTTCTCTAATTGAAAAGAAGAAAAACATTCTCTTTGTTGTTGTGGATGATTTAGGTAAGATAATTGTTATATTTTTAAAAAGGATAATAATACTTCGTAGAATATTCTTAAATATTTAATGATAAAACTTTTTATCTTTTATTTTCCATTAACCGAATATCCATTTTTTTTAAAAAACCCATTCAAATCTATAAATAATAATTTTTTTTTTTAAATTCAACAAATTAATTCATTATATAAATTTATAATTCCTTTCTCTTTTCAATTAATTCAACATAAAAATCAACGGAATATCTAACAGAGTTTGTGTATTTTTATTTTTAAGCACAGACTTGGTCTTAACAACATTTACGGTTGTAAAATCAATGCCCTATTGATAATTTATGAAAAATTGATAATGAATAAATATTTTACAAATTCAATGGCTGCTAAATATAATTTTGAAGCGATGAAAAAATATATAATGAATAAATATTTTACAAAAATAATGGCCACCGATATATTTGAAGCGATGAAAAAAAAATAATATATTATGAATAAATATTTTACAAATTCAATGGCTGCCAAATATAATTTTGAAGTGATGAAAAAATATATAATGAATAAATATTTTACAAAAATAATGGCCACCGATATATTTGAAGCGATGAAAAAAAATATATATTATGAATAAATATTTTATAAAAATAATAATAAATTTGAATCGATAAAAACATGCCACATTAGCAAAATATCACTAAGGGGATCGAATCTACATCGATAATATCACTACGATATTGAAGCTACAATGAGTATTGATTTCACAATACTTCAACTGATCTTCAAAGCTCATTTTTTTTTGAGAAAGTATGTCGATCCAAATATTTTTATAACGAATGGCGTGGGGCACACCTAAAAAATTTGATACTACCCCCCCCCCTCCCCCTTATAAAAGGGAAATAATAATTTAATCAGAAATAAAGATTTAATGTATGGTCGAATTTGTTTTTTTTTCAGAAATATTATTCAAAATTTCCCTATTTTTTTAGCATCACTATTATACGTTTTCCTTTTAAAAATATTGAATAAATTTTCACATAATAATGAGAGTTTAAGACCCACTCCATAGGTTCCCAGCGTGAATTAGGCAGAGGTCCATCCATTGGCTGTTTTTTGGGGTTTATTTATTAAGTAGGGTGCCAGCAAACCGTGTTTTCCCCAGAAAAATAATAAATGGGGAGGCTAAGGATGATAAAGTCCCGTCAGAATTTATAGACTTAAATAATTCATGCAAATTTTTAATATTCAGTTTTAATAAATATTTTATAGCCCCATAAATATCAATCAAAAAAAACTTATAGGTTGGAATGATGTGGGATGGAATAATCCGGCGATGCCAACTCCCAATTTAAACTGGTTAGCAAAAAATGGTATAATACTGAATCAGTCATATGCCTTGCCTATATGCACACCGTAAAATATTTGATATATATATATATAAATATACCTCTCAACCTTAATATAAAGGTGATTTGTTTGTCTATGGGGCATTATAATTTCATTTAAGAGATTTTATATAAAAGGTTTTTTATAATTGAGATTTAAATGACTCATGAAATACACAAAATTGTCTTATAATCGAGAGAAGATATTAACGATATCATAAGTGTAAAATTAAATGAAATATGGGTTTAATTTTGGAATAATTGGACTAAATTTATTTTACAGAAGTTTTTTCTTATTAAATCTCTAATTTTTGGAATTATAAGGAACCAATATTTAATTTTATGTTTTGCGAATTGATTTTTTGCGTAAAGGAGAAATTCGAATTGAAACCGCATAATAACTCGAATTCGCAATTTTACAAAAATAATAAAATAGTTCATCGTTAATTTGTCATGCGCAAAGAATATATTGTTATATTTTTAACTATTAATTACAGATCCAGGGCGGCTTTCTTGACGGGATATCATCCTGTTAAACTTGGATTGCAAGTAATAAATCTAATCCTCATATATATATATATATCATATTTTTAATTTTATAATTTTATAATTTTTACATCCATATTCTATTATTTATTTCTCTTTTTTTTTTACTTAAATTTAACTTTAATTTTGCTTACACCCTCATTTTTTTTTCTATACATTTTTGAGTATTTTACCCGATTTTTAGTAATTTGACTATATACATTTGTGTATATGTATTGTTTTGTACAGAGTTGTGAACGGGCTCAGAAATGTAAACCCGTGTAATGTGGACCCTGGCGGGTTCTGACTTAAGTCCGATTAAGTTCCTTTTATCAAAATTTCCGCTAAAAGGGTTAAAAATTCCTACCCAAATATTGATTGTCAACAAAAAAAAAATTTTTTAAAAAAATGAATTCGTACTTTGTCTAAATGAATTAAGGACTTCATTAGTATTAAGGGCGAGATTTAAAATGGCGACAACTCTGATTTCTCTGAATACTACTAACTCTTTTTTTAAATTCCTTCATATCTCATATCATTTTTGATCAATATTAATATAATGAACTTAGTTGAATAGTTTATTATACCAAAATATATTCGAAATAAACATATTTTTATTAGAAATTTTGCAAATTATTTCCTTTAAAAAATCTTGGATTTTGCATTATATTTTTTTCGATCTTATTAGTGCCCGACAAAAACTCATCATGAAATTTTTTTTAAATTATAAATAAAAATGTATAGTTGAAAAGGATATTTTTATTGAGTATATATATATATATATAAAGAGGAAAATTTCTGATTCATCCTTCATGCTTTTACGGGCCATGTGCTAGTAATTAATAATAATAACTATATAAAAAATTAATAAACAGTCGAATGTTATAAAATCACTTCAACCCAATGCGATCAGCCTAAGACGTACATTGCTTCCAATGATATTAAAGAAAAATGGATATTCGACCCATATGCTTGGAAAGTAATATATATGGTTGTGTTTGTTTTGTTTTTGTTATTACCAAACCCAAATAACTTTTCCTCCATTCATAAACGATGCCAAAGTTTCTGTCATGAAAATAAATTCACTAGAACTTTATTCCCTAGGTTAAACTGAAATATTTCCGGCTTATAACTTAATCAATTATTCTTGTTCGTTATTAGTGTTGTTAAACGGGTCGATTTGAGCCGGAAAACGGCTAACTCAATATTTTCAGCTAGAAAAATATTGTCTGCCTCAAGATTTCGTTAATAGCAGAGTTGTTAAAAGATACTTTTTAAATGGATCTAGATACAGATACATCGTCTTAAATAATATCTAGATACAGATATTTTAATCAAAAATCTATCTAGATACAGATACCAAATTTTTATATCTAGATACAGATACAGATACCAAATTTTTATATCTAGATACAGTATCTAGATCCTTTAACAACTCTGGTTAATAGATTTTCAAACCTTTCTACAACCTATGACCAAAATCTTCAGGCTTGCATAATATTTTTTTATAATAAAATATTGAGTTAGATCTGCTCAAAATGAGCCGTATAACAAACACTGTTAGTTATACGTCAACTTTTACAAAGTTCTGTCTTAAGTGTCGGATATAAAGGAAACCTCGAAAATCATCCATATTATCCACTCGAATTCTAATTATTTAGGTTCCCATGTCTTCTTTCAATTTGGAAACATTATTAAAAAAAAATTTTTTTAAATGTCCTACAAATAAATTATGAAAGTTATAATAATTATTCGCTGAGGGATTGAATTCATTATTTTTAATTTATATAACGCAAACATTTCATGATAAATAGATGGCATTTAGGGTATTGCAATAAAGATTTTGTTCCAAATTCTAGAGGGTTCGATACCTTTTTCGGATATTACTCGGGAGGTCAGGATCATATCAACCATAAAGCTGGTATAATCTATCATTTATTTTATATTTTATCTAACATATTGCATTCCCATAATCTTTTAACTTCCATTAATCCACTCCTTTCAGGCAGAATGCAGGATTTTCTTTAAAGAATTTTATTCATGTATAGGATTATTTTTTTAAGAGAAGCATGTGAGTTGATGAATACTAATCTAATTTTAATTTAATTCCCCCCTAATATAATATGGAAAGTGTGTTATCATTAATTGATATTTATATTTTAATCTTACACCATCATACTAATGCTATTATATATATTTTACTAGGGGGTGTACTAGATAATGGAACTAAATTCACAGGATATGATTTTCACGAGAATTACGAACCCTACCGTAAGGCCATTGGAGTTTATTCATCAGTTTAGTATTCAAAAAAAATACCACTTCATATTTAAAATAAATAATGACTTATAAGCCTCATTTATAATAAGCGAACTTCGTTAGATATTTTTTCAAAAGCAAGCAAATAATAGGTAAAATTTATAATGACTGCGCGATCACACGGAATAATGCACATCTCTATAGATATAAATTTTACCTTATATCTGCTTGCTGTTGAAAAATACTCAGCGATGCACCTTTTCAATAAACGATACCTTATTGACATTGACAATCAATCGTGATCTTTCAATCTGTAAATTTTTATTAAAATAATGATAATATAAAATAGTTTAATAATTATACAACTATTATAATAATAATGTTTATAAAAAAAAATTAAGGATCTTTACACCAATAGAACGATAGACTTAATAGAGAAGCATGATAACGTGAAGCCTTTTTTCATATATCTATCTTACCAAAATGTTCACAGTCCTTTAAAGGTTAATTAATTTTTCGTAAAACAATATTATTTATTAAATAATTTGTATATATAATTGAGGAATGTTGACTATATATTTAATAAATAAAGAAAGAAAGAAAGTATGTTGCAGCTGGAATGAAAATTTTGCTATGTACAAACTAGCTAGATGTTTAGCTAGTATACAAACTAGCTAGAGTTTTAGCTAGTATATAAGCTTACAAAGGAAAGCTTAAACTAGGTTGTAGCATAGCTATTATATATTAGCTGTAACATATTAATAATATGTCTTTTAATTAAAAAAAAATTCGGCATTTAAGATTAGAATCTTAAATTTTCCTGATCTTACTTTACATATCTGCGATTATTATCTTTGAATATTTTCTTCTGGGATATATCATGGACACTTCAGGCCTACTATATTCATATCAGTCTTTTCCCCAATCTATCTCTTCTGGGGGTTATAGGGTAGCTTGTATCGACTGTTTATCATTCTTCTCTCAGAAAATCCTAAATTTTTGTGAAATTAGAGATCCGCTCTTAAATAAATTTAATTTTTTTTATTAATATTTTTTAAAAAACAATACGACTATCATCATTGTGTTTTTCGCCAGTAGGTTATTCCTACATAAACTATCAAAAAAAAATCATAAATTTATATTTTACATTACTGTAGGTCTAGAAATTAAGGTGGAGATTCACATATCTCTTAGTCATGTACACATTATACAAACTAAAAATTTTAACAAAATAACAATACATAATTTATCATTGTTATAGATTCCAAAGGAACGTATTGTGCCTAGATGTCAACATATTAAAGATAAAAAAAGACAAATATACTGCAGTAATTTTCTTAAATATAAAATATATATATATTATTGATAACTGAAAGTCTTACTGTGCATAAGAAGAAATAAAAAATACGAGGTTAAGAATGATTATTAGAAAATATAAATGCAAATTGACGCTAATGTTAAGGACAAGATATGTTAAGGGTCAGATTTGCTAGACATTTATAAAGGATTAATATTTAAAGAAATATACGTTAACATTATTTAAATTAATGTCATAATTTGATTTTGACCTTCGAAATAATTATTATGGATATATATAACATGTTACTGTAATTAGAAAAAATATAGCGATCCTAGAGCTTTAAAGTTATTTCTGATCAACAGGATCCCATGAGCATTAATAAGAAATGACATGTACAGATATAAATTATTTCATAGAAAATTTAAGGGGAGAGTTTAGAAATGATGCGTAGGTAATAAAAAAAAAATAGATGTAGTCATTGCTCATAACTTTTCCTACCGAGTAAACGTGTATTCACAATTAACAAGATATAGTGTGGACTTTTACTGTAATTTTATGACGCGATGATAAATACAAAATCAATTTTTGAATTTGTATTCGTCGCGCTGGTGTTCGTAAAACATAGGGAATGTCGTGCTACCTTTTGTTAGCTGCGAATGCGAGGTAAGATTTATTCTTAGTGGTTAGTTATTATCAGACAGGATCAGACCGATATTTATATACTGCCTTAAATATATATATTCTTTTAAATTTACTAACCTTTTAGAAAATAAATGAAAGAAAAATATAATTTGTGTCATTTTGTATAACAATTTGTATAACAATTTGTGATTTAATTATTTTATTTTAAAACAATAAACTCTAGGTATGGTAGCACATGTTGATAGCTCGATGGGAGAAATCGTGGGTGTATTAAAAAAGAAAAAACTTTATCGGGACACTCTGATAGTTTTTACATCTGATGTAACAATTATTTATATATTATTTATTACTTCAATAAAATTTGAATAAAACTTTCATGGGGTCTAATGCAAGAAACAGTTACCTTATATGGGAAATATTATTAATAACAAATTTCAAAGTTTAATTATTTACTTTAAAGATATTTATCATACTAGTGCAATAATGATATTAAAAATGAAGCATTACAAACTAACCTTTATTTTAAATATGATCTATAATTAATTAACCCTTTTTCATGTGCGACAATAAAACCAATTGAAAAAGATAAATTTTAAAATACTAAACTTAAAAATTAATGCTCAGAAAATTTATTTTTAAATATTTTAAAGAAAGAATAACCATATTACTTATTTACGCAAATTAAATATATTATTTATACAAATATTATATTTGAAACAGGAATTAATCCGTGATTTTATTTTAATTTATCAATATTAAAAAAAATTTTAAGATTTTATATTTTGACTATAGAATTATTAAAAATAAATTATTCTGCTGATTTCCATAAAATATATTTAAAAAATTTTTTTTTAAAATAAACTTTTTTTTTTGCTAAACAAAAACCAAAAAATTATTCGCCATTTTTTTTCACGAACCGGAAATGTCTTGAAAGACCCCCCATAAATATTTTCGAGACCTAAAGAGGAATTTTAATAATTAATTAATTAAATTGGTAAAAACATATATATTTTTTTACAAAATAATTAGAATGGTGGTCAAGTGTTGCAAGGTGCTAGTAACTATCCGCTAAGAGGTAGCAAAGGTACATTATGGGAAGGCGGAATACGAGTTGCTAGTTTTATTCATGCCGGATTTCTAAAATTGAAAAAGGGATACGTTAGCAATAAGTTAAATTCATTTTATAATTCTTATATATATATATATCCATCCATTACAATATTGTTGTAAACATATTTATTTTTTTGGGATGGGAAATAATTTGTCTAATTTTCTTTCTTTCAAAATTTTAAACTCAAAAATCCTAATATTTTCTACCCCAGGAGCAATATAGGGTGATCATAAAGTTTATATGATGTTTAGTTTATGGCATTCTTATAAATTTGTATTATTTTTATCCACACATTTTTCCTCTTTTTTAAACAAATTTTTTTTCAAAAACAATTCGATTATCAAAATAGATTAATTCACGCTGTTGACTGGTACCCTACCTTTGTCGAATTAGCTGGGGGTTCCAAAGTAACTCCAGGAAAAAAATTATCGAAAAGCGATGGCATATCTCAGTGGAAAAGTATAATTGATAAAAATGTCCCGGCACCCAGAAATCATTTTTTGATCAATATGGTGTTGCAAAATAAATATTTCGTCGGTATAAGGTAACAATAAAAATAATTAATTCTCTTCTAATTAATATATAATTATTGAATAAAAATTATTAAAGATATGGAAATTTTAAACTCTTATTGGGTAATCCTGGAGATATGGATGATTGGTATGATATACCCAACACATTGCATATTCGTAGTATAACAAATTCTCCAAGTAAAAAAAAAAGAAATATTATAATCTAATATATTATTATTTATTTTTTTTTAAATCTCTTAGATGAATCTGGAGGACCTATCTCACATACGATCAAAAAAAATAATTGCAAATATAAAATGGGAAACCCAGAGTTAGATAAATGTAGGAAAGAAATGATAACAAATAGCACGAATATTTGGTATTTCAACATCAAAGGTAACCTTTTCTTTTTTACAATTATATTTTTTATTAATATTAAATACTTGACGATTAAATACCCGATATATACGGAATTGGACAAATCGCTAATATTTTAATCTTTTTTGAACATTTTTCAATAATCATGTGCTCAGGGATAAAAAAATTTTAAAATGTACTTTTATTTTAATCGACATGTATTTCAAAAAGATATAGATATTTTTTTTTAAAATTTACATATTATTTAATAATCCCAATATAATTTTTTGGTATACTAAAAGTTAAAAATATCATTTATAAAAATTTATTTTAAAAAGATAGGCTAAAATTTATAGAGGCTGTCGAAAAGACTTTAGATACAATTAGTTGGGCTACACATAAGTAATACTACATTGTATCAAAAAATAGATTAATTCTTAAATTAAAAAGATATTAAAAATAGCTAAAGAATAGTATAAAAATAAGATTTTATGCAATAGATAGCTTCATATGTATTTTTATGGTAGGAATTATCATAGTTATACCTTAGGTGAAGAATTTTTACTATAAGAACGTGATATTATTGTCAAAAATCTAGAAAAAACAGCAAAATCAAGATTTTAGTTAAATAATTTTTACCTATGCCTCGAGATTTCGCATATAGATGGCATGAAGATCTAACCCTCTTTTGACCAAATTTAAGTATTTTTTGTGTAAAATCTTGAAGCGCCTATAAACCTTGGTGGTATTTGGCAACAATAGACGTGATAATGTAGAAAAATGCGTTCTTTGACACTAGCCATTTAAAGATCATTGTCAAACTAATTCTCACTATAGAGAGTTTTCTTCTTATATAAAATTATATTTAAAAAAAAGAGTAATTGAAAAATATATTTTTCTGAAAAATTCCCAAATAAAGTATTAAAAATTTGTGATATAATAAGCGATGGGCGGATAATAATGAATAGAGGGAGAAGAAAAAAATACCCTTGCAATTTCTAGCATGGTAATGAATGAATTTTATTTAATTGGTGTAAATCTAATTATTCGATAAGTAAATATTATTTTTTTTTTATTCTTCTAAAAGCTCTCGTGTTTATATCTCTTCGAAATGTTTACTTATATATCTTCATTTAATAAAAATTTTTAAAAATTGGCTCAAACCTGAAAATGCAAACATTAAAACCCTCATTTAAAAAATAATATATATTAACCCCCATAATATATGCATTTTGGGGTTAAAATCAATTAAAATCAAGCAAGATGAGATTAAATAATTCTTTTATTAGTAAAATTTAAAATTTCCATTATTAGATCTTTCTAATTATATTATAAGTAATACGTTAATAACAACTAAACTAGGCGATATCAAACCTTTTTTTCTCATTTATTTTAATCTAAGCACTTCTAAGATTATACACATGTTAATAATTAGTACGATTAAATATTAAACAATTTTAATAAAAATGATAGTTTGTTTATATGTTTTAGGTTTATATATATTTTCCTATATCATAACTACATAATCTGGAAGAATAATTCTGAGAGTTCTTATTGTATTTAGTATTCGCACAAAATATTACGATATAATATAATTTAATAACGAAGTAGGAGGTTAATTTTTAATTGAATATCATTGTTTTTTACTATCAAAGAATTTACTCAGTAAGATTATAAAAGTATTCGAGAGAAATTTTAAGCGATATACACAAAAAAAAGAAGAGTTTTTTAATAGAATTTTAATTTAATTTGTTATTTTATTATCATCCAGAGGATCCTTACGAAAAAAACAATATGATTCTAAGAGATGCAACATTCTTTAAAATGCTAAATCTACTAGTTGACTACACAAAATTTTATAAAAGTCCGACTCATAAGAAACAAGACCCTAAAGGACACCCTATTCACTTCAATGGAGTTTTCAATTTTGGTTGGTGTGATGCATTTTAAATAATTTTATTCTTTTTGAATCACAATAAAATGTCATATGATGTTTGTATCATTTATATATAGTTTTGCTATTTTGATATTGTGAATTTAGAAATTGTAGTTTTTTTATAATATTTTTTATAAATTTAATTTATCAATTTATAAAATATTTTTGTAAATAGTCATTTTTTTTTAAATAATAAATTATATAGGAATTTTTTTTATACTTTTATATTTATTATTTTTTTGATAAATTTAATTTATTTATATAAAATATTTTAACAATCATTAAATTCCTATTTAAATTTAGACGCAAATTTAATTTTATTTTATTTTATAAATCCTACAATGATGCTTAATTTATTTTATAACATGGAAGCTTTGTTACTAGGGAATGAGATTTAAACAATAAATTTTTTTATGTATTTCAATGGCATTCAATAATAATTTAATTAATAAATACTGAATTAAAAAAAAATGGATTATTAAATATTAAAGAAGTGATTTATAGATTGTAGAAATAAGGTTTGAAAGAAAAATGAAAATTTCAGCAAGGAACATTTAATACTTAAGATTAATTTTAAATATTTACGAAATTTCCAATATTTACGAATAATTTTATATATATAATTTCGAAAAATTCCATCTAATAATTGATAATATTCGACGAAAAATATATTTTCGTACTCTTCATATTTTTTTTATTCTAATAATTTTATTTATTTTTGCTGTGTTTTAGAAAAAATTCATTTTATCCAAAAAAAAAACTTGAATTATATGTAATTGTAAAAATATATTAAAACATTGTTTCTGGTGAATTTTTTTATCTATCTAAATTTATTATCATGCATATCTAAAAAAGTGCACTAAACCATCCCTAAATAAATGACGCTGATATCCTTTGATTACTAAAATATAAAATGAATCACTAGGCAGTGTTCCAAAACCTAAGAACGGTGAAACTGATAACAGCTGTTATTATCTAGAGAACCTAAACCGAACCTGAGCCCTTAAAAGGCCCTTTAATATTTTATAGGAAAAAAATCTTGAAAATATTTTAATTAGATTCAATCATAATTTTTAGGAATTCAAACCAGGTTTTAGAAGTTCAAGTTGACTAACCCGATATTTGTTAAAGTTAGGATTACTGATAGTCAACTGAAATTTCAATGATTGCATTGTAACATACCCAACATCGTGTTAGGGGGCACACTGGCATCTAAAGTAGTGTTGTTAAACAGCTCGTTTTGCGCCGATTTTTAAAAATGGCGAACTCAATGTTTCATCCAGAAAAATATAACGCAAGCCTGAAGATTTTACTCATAGAAGGGACAAAGGTTTAGACATATTTCGAAATCTTGAGGCTTAGGCAATATTTATCTGGCTAAAAATTGACTTAGCCGTTTTGAAAAATAGGCTCAAAACGAGCCGTTTAACAACACTAATCTGAAGTGAAAATCGGAAAGTAATTAATAAGTTATTCAGTAAAAATTTTTCCAAGTGGCTTAGTTTTATAGTGCCCACACTATATATTTATCATAAATGTACGTTAAATATTTTTATTTTATTGGGTATAAAACAAAAACATCAGGTGCTCATGATAATGTCTATTACCATTCCTGGCTCTACCCATCAAAATACAATCTTACATGTTATAAAATTAACAAAATCTTTTTTATTTCATTCATAATTTTAAATTTTAATTTCACGAGTAATCTATATTTACTTATAAATGCAATATCACAAACAAATTATTTGTTGTGAGTTTCATCAATGATTTGTTCCCAAATGTGGTTAACAAATTTTGAATATTAATAATTCCTCAACCAGTTATAGAAAACTTTTAGAAAACTATTAATATCTTAAACCTTCAAAAAGATGTCTACCACAATGTTTTAACCATTTCTCCTTTTTTTACTAAACCCAAATATAAGTTCTTGAATAATGATATAGTTTCAATTAACAATAGCCCTATTGATAACAACATTATTGTAATTCCTACCTGATAATATTTCTTCCCTCAGGTCTAATGATATTACTCTAATTCCTAAAGGTGCTCGATTACTGGTGGTTAAAAGCTTCTCTGATTGAATATCCACCTTTTCACAAAATTTTAATTGTGGAATTCAGGTTTTTTTTAATGGCCTTAATATTCTAAAGGTACCCGACAAATCTTTAACTCAACAAATTAAGGATGCTGTTCTTAACAAAATTCATACCTTCTGGGTGACTTTTTATCCTCTAATTATTCTGCAAAACAAAATCCAATGCACCCATTCTTCAATCCTAACCATGCTCACCAACTTCTGAAATAAAATCTAAGGCGGTGATGTTTCAGGCTTTGCGTCTCCTATACTTTTTGGCGCACGACACATTGCTTTACACTTAATAATGATATCAGGACAATTTCTATAGGCTTAACCTTTAGTGGACTTTCCGCCAAAATGCTTTCCTTAAGAATTGTATGATGCATTTTTCATTTTGAGTCCCTTTCAACTTGACATGGGAGACGCGGGTGGTTGCTAGGATACGGTATATTTAAATCGTGTTGATTTAGAAAACAATCCCTCAAATGAAATCTTGATTAAAATCGACTTTGTCAATGCCTCTAATACCCTGTCTTGGGATTCTTTCTTAAATACCTAGAGCACTCTTTTTCCCGGATATAGCAAATTTCCCCATTCAATCAATATCCCTCCACTTTACAATTTGATTCTTATAAAATTCCCTCTATAGAAGAGATGCAACAGGGTGATCATCTTGGACCATTGCTATTTAACTTGGAATCAACGATATGATCAAGGCAATCAGTGTCTTCTACTCCCTTTCTCTCCATGTTTGGTACATAGATGATGGTATAATCTGTGGCTCATGCAATGAGGTCAATAAAGCGATTGATATAATCCTAAAGATCCGCTCTTATTTAGGGTTAATTCTCAATCAGAGCAAATCAGAATCCATCCAAGCAAACAATTCCGAAACCAACACACACAATTTTGAGATCATTAATCAAGATAAACTAATATGCTTAGGATCCCGGTTGGAAACAATTCGGTCGTTCGCACTGAATTGAACTCTTGTGACTCTTAGAAGTTGGGTAATATCCTTTCCCTACTTTCCTCGCATAAATCGTTTTTTCTTTTGAAAACTTTTATAACCGTTCTTCACGAACTTAGGACTACATCTGATTTTAAATATCTTACTTCTTTAAGTGTATATAAAACCGGAATCAAGACACATACTAAGAAAGATCCTAAATCTTATGTTTGGAAAAATTGCTTGGGGCCCAAGCTTTTCTCCCTATAAAATTTGGGTCTTGGGATTAGGTCTCCTCATTTTGAAACAAAACCTATTGTTATTACTCACTCTCAGGTTGATGATTCGTTGGCTCTATGGAGATCTCGAATTCATAATGACATTGAGTCAAGGAGTTAAGATATGACCCTTTATATATTAAAATAGCTCATAATTTAACATAAATATCATCATATTTATATTTAATGGATACGTAGGTAATAATTTTTATTTAAAAATTATTTCCAAATGAAAGGCCTTACTTCCTTATATAAAATTTATTTGAATGTTTGGAAGGGGGGGGGGGGAATGTGGTTAATTTAACACTTTGGTTAAATTTTCTCTTGAAAATATGTGGCACAATAATTCTAAGCATATATATAACTTTATTTGGCGAAATAATTTCTATAATTACATGTAGTGTACGGCTGGGATGGCTTAGCCCTATAGTCAGCTACTTTTTGAATCGAAAAATAGACTCAGACTTAAGTAACATTTTTTTTGCATTAAAAATCTAATTCATATTTTTTATTTATTTTAATTTTGAATTTGGTTATTTTTTATCGCCTATCTACCAACAAATGTAAATATTTGAATATTTTTTTTAATTATTATTTTATATTAATTATTTAAGGTAATGAAGGGTTGCCATTGCCAAATATTTTTTCACGAAGATGAGTTTTTTTTAAAAAAAAGGTAGTTATAGAATTATCAGGGAAACTATTTTATAAAAATTTCATTTCACAAGGGCTGGCATTAGATTATTATTTAATTTAATATAAAATATTTTATATTTTTGGAGAATTTATGCCCGGAAATAATATAATTATTTTCACAATAATAATAATTATATATATGTCGTAATTTTTAAAGGGATCATGACTATCCGGGATCTTCACGGGTTTTAAAGGGATAACTAAAAAATTAGGGTTTTAAGTTAAGGAATGATAAAACGGTATTATCACGTTTTACCGTGATAAAGAGGAATCTTATTTTAAAAAGCGTTTTAAGCGCGTTACTTTTTATTTCTTTTTAATTTTATTGTTATTTAAAAATTTTCAATGTTGTTTTATTGGTCTTATGAAATAAGTTAGGTCTAACATAGGGTATCAATCGAGAGCTAATAAAAAGATCTATTCAACTAGAGGTCAATCTCTCCGCCGTAATGGGCGAGTCTAGGTCTGGGGGGTCAGGAATATTTTTATAAACATAAAATATCGATATGGGTATCAAACAAAAGCTAATTTAAATATCTTTTGACTGAGAGCATTCATTCTTGGTCTTGATGGATTATGACTTGGTCTTGGGGGGGGGGGGGGGGATAGAGGGGGGGGGGTCAAAAAATAGTTTTTTTGATATCGGTATCAAAAAAAAGTAATTTAAATATCTTTTAACTCTAAGCATTCATTCTTGGTCTCGATTCGATGGGTATGACTAGGTCTGGGGGAGGGGGGGGGGGGTGTATGAAGAGGGGGGGTAAAAAATATAGTTTTTTTGATATGGGTATTAAATAAAAGGTAATTAAAATATTTTTTTATTGTATAATAATAATCATCATTTTAAGCGGGTGGGTCTAGGTCTTAGGGGGTCAGGAATATTTTTATAAACATAAAAATCGATATGGGTATCAAATAAAAGCTAATTTAAATATATTTTGACTCTAAGCATTCATTCTTGGTCTCGATAGGTATGACTTGGCCTGGGGGGTGGATAAAGTGGGGGGGGGGGTAAAAAAAAAGGTTTTTTTGATATGGGTATCAAAAAAAGGTAATTAAAATATTTTTTTTATTGTAATAATAATAATCACTAAAAGCGGGTGGGTTTAGGTCTTGGGGGGTCAGGAATATTTTTATAAACATAAAAATCGATATGGGTGTCAAATAAAAGCTAATTTATATTTCTTATGACTGAAAGTCTTGGCCGTGATGGGTATGACTTTGTCTGGGGGGGGGGGGGGGGTAAAAAAATCATTTTTTTTGATATGGGTATCAAATAAGAGGTAATTAAAAAGTCTTTTTATTGTAATAATAGTAATAATAATAATAATCAGTGGGAGGGTCTAGGTCTTGTGAGGTCAAGAATATTTTTATCAACATAAAATATCGATATGGGTATCAAATAAAAGCTAATTTAAATATCTTTTGACTGAAAGCCTTCATTCTGGTCTTGATGGGTATGACTTGGCCTGGGAGGTGGATTAAAAGAGGGGGGGGGGTAAAAAAAAGGTTTTTTTGATATGGATATCAAATAAAAGGTAATTAAATTATTTTTTTTATTGTAATAATAATAATCACTTAAAGCGGGTGGGTCTAGGTCTTGGGGGTCAGGAATATTTTTATAAACATAAAATATCGATATGGATATCAAATAAAAGCTAATTTAAATTTATTTTGACTGAAAATATTCATTCTTGGTCTTGATGCAGGCGCGTACGCAGCGGGGGGGGCAGGGGAACAAATCCCCCTCCCAAGCCAAAAAATGCAGATGCCGGATATATTTTTCAAAAATATTTTTGTTTATATTTTATAATATTTATTCCTATATCTCTTTCTTTTTAAATATAATTTAATTAATCACATTCATTTACTAAGTTATTTTATCAATTAATTTCGATTTCAAGTTTTCCTTGGCGTAAATTCATCTATTATTTTCAAATTTCTAATGGCGTAATATTTATCCATCATTTTCAAATTTCTAGTCAAATAATAATTATGGACATAAGAAATTTTTTAAACATATTGATCCTAAATCTTACAAAAAAGCAAGAAAGTACAAATACTTTTATAACATTTTATAATTAGCCGAAGAAAGACATATACTTCTTAAAAAGGCATAAAAGATACCTATGATAAATATTTTATTTAATAATAGATATATATTCCACCCCTAATATCCACAAATTATATGTGCTAATCGAAAGTTAAAATTTCAAAACAGCTATTTTACTAGATGGTTATGGCTAGCATCCTCTATCCGAGACAATGGAGCTTATTGCAAGATATGTATCTTGTTTGACCCAAGATATGCTGGAAGAAATTTAGTTATGCTTAACAGTCTTGTTAAGACTCCATTCAACAAGTACAAAGATGCTGGAGAAATCTTTAACAATCATCAAAAAACAAATCACAAAAGCTGTGAACTGATGATTTCTTCAAATTAATTCAAAGTGGGGATATGATTCCCATTTTATCACATATTGACAAAAATAGAAATAAAATAGCAAAAGAAAATAGATGTAAGATCAAACTAAGTAGAGGCCATTCTATATTGTGGATTGCAGGTCATAGCATTACGTAGCCATTTGGATTCAAGAAGCTTGAATTTCAATAATAAAGATAATGAAGATAATTTTCGTGGTCTTGTAAAATTTAAAGCATTAGGGGATTCTGCATTAATGGAAAACCCCAAGCAACATAATATTTTAAACAGAATTATTTCTGAAACTCTTTGTCCAACAATGAGAAAGAAATTGCAAAAAGCTTGTCCAACGAGATGGAGTCCTCGCCATCAAGCAGTAACAGCTTTTATGGAGTAAGAAGAACCGATTATTAATGCTCTTACTGAAATATCACAATGGCCTGAAAGAGATATTTCCTCAGAAGCAAGCAAATTATTGGATTAAATCCTTATACCAAATTATACAAATATTTTATGTAATACTTTTAAAAAACATGACATTGACTTGATTGAGACGATGAGAGCAGCGGAGAGCATTTTTTAGAACTCAAGAAAATTAGGGCTATTGTTGATGAAGAATTTCATATTTTATATATTGTTGAATCAAAGGCAGAGCTATACGAGTTTAATATTTGTCTCCCTCGACTTGCAGCAAGACAAACTCATCGTCCAAACATTAATATAGGGTAAGTAGAAAAGTAATATAAAATAAATGTCTTTATCCCTCTCTTAGATACATTTATAACCCAAATAAATGAACGGTTTTTAATTCATCAGGCAGCACTTACCAATCTGCAGATATAACTTCCACAAAAACCTTCCCAACCTTTTTCAGATGGTTATAGAAAAAAATAATCTATTTAGCAGATTTTTATCATGAAGATGTTAAGTTATCTTATGATGCCTTATTAGCTGAATGCCAACTATGGTATAAAAGATTAACTATGGTTGATACAGTCTCAAAAAATGCTATGAATGCTTGGCATCATTTCAAACATCTTTTTGATTATTTTTCCAATGTATTAAAATTATTAATTCTCGATAAAAAAATTAACACAGGGTATAAATTTTTGCCATAAGATGTGATAGAAGGTTTTATCATCAAACAAGACTAGTAGCTTCAACATAAAAAAACATAACGGTAATATATCAAATAAATTTAATATCAATGTGTAGCTCAATCCTTAATCTCTATAATAAAATTAGAGCATCTATGATAGTTTTTGAGCTAGATGATTTTATATGAAAGTTGATTTTCTGCCCCAGTCTAAACATGATATGTTTCAACTGGCCATGCGATAGCGCTCTTCTTTTTTTGTAAAATAGGTGCGCTATTTTTAAAGTAGTTTTTAACTACACTGATAAAATGCTTCCTTTTTTATTATCTTCCTCTTTCTCCTTCTCTATTTTAAAATATTTTTTAAATTTTTAATAATATTATTAAATGTCATAAAAATTATATATGGGAGGATGTCTGTTATTTTTTAAGGAAATGATTAATGATAAAAATACTAACAAACATATTCTTTCAATTTTGGAATATTTTCTAAAAATATATTTACAAGAAAAATTTTTTTATCATCAAAAAAAGGAAAAGATAAAAAAATGATAAAAAGGGGGGGTGGTGGGGGGGGGGAGTGGGGGGTGGGGGTGAAGATTTAGAATATTTTTTTTTACTTAATTTCAAATTTCATTTTTATATATTTATAAATTCAAAATATTATCATTTTTAATAATGCCCCAATTAGTTTTGCCTGAAAATCAAACCCAATATCAAATTTCTAAAAAAACTAATGACTAACAACTATACAATCATTCCTGGAATAGATGCCAAACTAAAATCTAAAATTAAAGGACTTTTTTTATTTAAAAAATAATATTATAATGTGCTCGAAAAAAAAACAAGCCAATTATTATATTATCCGAATTGGATGAAATATTTAAGAAACATCACAATGATAAAAATCATACAGGTAAATGTTTATTGATTTACTATTTTTCTTAAGTAGTGCACGTGCTTCTAACGATTCAAATTATAATATATACTATTATTTTTATTTGTATTCCAATAACTTCATTTAAATAAATATTCACTAGTATTATTCTCGTAGTTAAAAAATCGAATATTATTCTATTTTCATATACTATTTTGTAGTTTATTTGATATTAGCCAAACCCGACCCAACCTGTTAAATTGTGATTATTTTTTGATCCGGGTTGTCTGAAATTTATTTTTCCATGTGGGTTTTTTTGTACAATTTTAAATTTGATAAATGATATCAAATAGGGATCTGCATCGGAATTAATTTTTTAAGCCGGACCTGGCCCGAAATTTATTTTAAAAAATTTGTTCCACCCTGCCCGATCCTTAATTTTTTCTTATATTTTTCCCAAAAAATGTGACCCTATATAAAAATTATTTGTCCGCCTGGCTCGGTCCGAAATTATTTAAATATAGAAAACATTAATAATTTTTTAATTGTAAAAAAAAATCTAGAAATAAAAAATATTGCGTCTTATTTCTTGCAAGAATTTTAAAATATATTATTTATTTCATAAAATTGAATGATAACAGCCCGACCCAGTCAGAATCTTTTTTAAAAATATTAGGCCTTACCCAGCCCGAACCTAAATTGTTTTGTAAAAATAACACCAGGCAGGGCTGGAAGCGGACCAGGAATTTGCAAATGTCAATAAATCATGGTTTCATTGTATATTATTTTATAATTTGAATGTTAGATAATTTTACAATTTTCATTTAAGATTATTTTACCATTTTTTTTAAAGATTATAAGAATAATTTTTCAATTAGATATTTTTTAATAATATACATAAAAATAAATTAATTTTAGGGTAAATCTATTTTGTCAATTATGTTCGGATTAGGAATTTAAGGGAAAAACTGGTTGCGTCGGATCTTGGAAAATATTTTACTTTCTGCGCATGGTTATAATTTAATCGAAAAGGAAGAGAAACTTTATAAATATCTAAATGTCCTGGTTCGACTTATTGGTAAACAGCCGACTGTTTGGATAGCTATAATAGCTTCGTCTAAACAGCTTCAAAAGTAAGATATAAACAAAAAAACGAAAGAAACAAATCGAAAACACAAAAAAATATGAAAAATAACAATGCCATGAAATACTAAACATATCAAAATAGAGTTTCCTAGTTCAAAAGCTGTCTAGCCTAGGCTAAACAGAAATAAGTATCAAAATGAGTCGAACAAAGACACACCCTTAGGTTTTTAAATTTTATTTATTTATAGTATTAAAAATTAAAAAAGAAATGGGTATTACATTTGTTATTTCTCTTCAAGTTTTATACTAAAATATAACGAAATTCAGCTTATTTTTTTTAGTTTTATTCGGTTTTTATTTTTTCTATATAAAAAAACTTATATAAACCGAAACGAAACAAAAAATAATATCAATTTCCCCAAACCAGAATGAAGATACATGATATATTTCAAAAATGGTTCGGGAAATTAACGGGCCCCTATCACTCTTATGCTGAATTATAAAAATATAGTGTAAAAATCATTTAAAAAAAATAAAATAAAAGGGTATACCTCGTATCGTATTGTAGGATTAAAATAAGATCTTATAGGAATGTGTTGACAGAATTTGCGGATGAATTGAAATATAATTTTTAAAAAAATAATAATAAAAAGTGACAAATTTTAAATCAACAAAAAGTCTATAATTAAAAAAAGAAATGAAGGTTTTTTTTTATTTTGAGGGAACTAGGTTAATTTTTGTAGAAATAATACTAATAAAATGATATATGTAAATTAGTTTTATCAATATAATAGATTATCATCATTACCAAAATGAAATGTAAAAACAAACTCACCGTTTTAAAATTTTGGCCTAATAACTCGAATTCAACTGGAACATGTTATAAATTGGTTCAACATGTGTTCTTATTGACATGTAAAATAGAAAATATTAGCTTAAACTTTAATTTTTTAAAAATATTATTATGATAGTGCGTGTAGCGCTAATAATATAAGCTGAATGCACTTTATTTATATACTTAATGTTTATTTCTTTAAAATGTATGTGTATTGTTATTTTTATGACAATAATATATTCTCGTTTGAAAATACATACTATGTTTATTCTAGTAGTATTTCAAAATTTATAGAATATTAACTGTAATATTATTTATTCAAATTTGTTTAAATTAATATTAATATGAACGAATCGAATATACAAGTACTAAGTATAATTAATAAATATTATGCGAATAAAAAACAAAAATAAAGAAATAAAAATATGTCCACAAGATGGGGTGCATATTGGAAAAAATTTAATTTGTATATTTTTTTATATATGAATATATTTTTTTGATATAAAATTACAAAAATTTAAAATTCATGTAAAAGTTTTTTATTGGTCACTTGTTAAGTTTGAATAAATCAATTATAACATTACATTAAACTAAAAATTAAATTTAAAAAATGTTAACAAACAATATATCTTTAAACATCTATCAATATATATAAAAGCCTTGTAATATATAAAAGCCTTGTAATATATAAAAGCCTTGTAATATATAAAAGCCTTGTAATATATATATAAGCCTTGTCACAAAATCATATCAAACTATTCATGTCCCACTTTACATATCACACTTTATAATATATATTCAAAAATCGTTAATTTTTATAAGTACCTATGGCCCAATCGCGCAAGAACTTCGCTTACAAATCTAGATGGATTATTGGACTTGGGTTCGAACCCCGGCAAATATTTTTTTTCTTAATCAACCTCCCCAAATGTGAGATTTGCTTCTTAAACCCTACAACATCCATCCCTTCAGAAACCACATTCTTCGCCATCAACAGAGAAGAGATGACACATCTTGGATCACCGATAGGGGGTGAAAAAGCAATCGAAACTTTTTTAAACAAATCCCTCGACAATTTATCTAATTAAACTCACTTTTTAATTACCTACCCGCTCATCAATCCTTTTTTTTAATCAAAAACTATTTTAATATACCCAAAATCCTCTATGCCCTGAGATCCTCACCGATCTTCAAATGCAGCCATTTGCTAGTTTCCCACGAAACCCAAATTAAGGATCTCCTAGAAAACATATTAAACCTTAAATTCTCCAATTCATCTTGGCTCCAGGCCACCCTTCCATGCAAGTCTGGTGGTATTGGTATTCGATCCCCCTTACAACTTTCCCTTTCAGCCTTTATCTCATCTCGTCTTGCTGCTCAATCTATTATCGACAATGGATCTACTCCTTCAGATACTGACCTCTCACAGGCCCTCACCTTGGCCAGGCTTGGGAAAATTTTTATAGGTTGGGCTGGGTTTGAAAAATATTTTTATAAATTATATTAGGCTGGGCTTGGGGAAAATTTTTCAAAAATATTATGAGCTAGAATGCTCGAGAATTTTTTTATTATTAACTATGAGTCATACATTGGCCGAAAAAAAAATTTTACAGGCCTGGGCTCGACCTGATCAAAAAACCTAGGCTCATGAAAATCTGATTTTGATTGTAATTTTAACATTATGATTATTTAAATATTTTATTTCAGTTCTCAACTACCAAAATTATTATATTCATTGGGCTTGGAAGAATTTTTCAAAATTATTATGGCTTTGTACTTTGCCTGGGAATTTCTTTAATATTAAATTTTAGGTATAAATGATTATTTAACAAATAATATTGGTATAATCAAGTCAAAGCTTTAAATTTAATTTTACTAAACCATAGTATTTACACTTAGTTTTAATGGATTAAACCTGGCCTGAAGGGGGGGGGGAGGGATTAAAAGAATAATAATTGGATATTATTTTCAAATAAGAGGTAACAACTATCATAAAGGTAAGAAAAAAATTCTCATTCCCCGTCATTTATGACGGGCTATCTTCTAGTTACTAAATAAATAATATGGATTTAAGATTGAGGCAAATTATATATTCCTATACTAGGAAGGTAAATATTATTTTAAGAAGAATAAATATTTCCAATACAATAACTATTTAAATCACAGCAAATAGAAAATAAATTGTTTATTTACCGAGATCCCAATGAATTGATTAAATAGTATTTTTATATATTTTTTTAAAATTCAGATTTAAATGATATAATATATTTTTCATAAAATATAATATACATTCATCCAAATTGATATTGATATTTTTGAAAAAAAAAATGCTGTGGTTTTTAACATTCAACATTATATTTTATCCAGGACTATACTCTTTTATCTCAAGTCAACCTAGTTATTCTTCCATTGAAAGGAAGAAAAACATACTCTTTGTTGTCGTAGATGATTTAGGTTAGATAAATGACATTATCTGTTTTTTTACAATCAAACTTGAGTTTATAGACTATGATTTGAATTTTTTTAAAAAAAGAATCATCTAGTAGGATTTTTAAAATTTTTGCTATTTCATATAATTTGAATTTGTATTTTGTAAATTATAAATATTTTAAAAGAGAAATTAAAAAAAAATTAGAGAATATTAAATGATTCATTTATATGATTTTTCAATTGATTATTTGATGTAATTTAAAACAATTTTAAAAACCCGGCCAGAAATTTGTAAAAAAAAATGAATATATTTTTATCATCCAGGTTTGTATACTTTTAAAATATGACTGGTTTTTTTTAGTCCCACCAATTTACAGACCGGCTTTGTGCCACCGGATGGGTCAAACCTCTAGGTCTCTGATTAATATTTTGTTGAAATATATAGAGCCTCCTGCAATCACCTTAAACCCCATTACTAGGACTATGATGTTTCACTAATGTTTGCTCCCTGAGTAGGTACACAGATATAAGTAGGAGGTGAATAGAGGAAAATTTGGGACTAAATTTTTTAATAGTCATTTACCAATTTTTTCTAACTTGCAGTGAAAATTGTCAATATTTATCTTTATTTTTTTTTCAGTAGCATTATTCTAAACTTATCTATTTTTTAGAGCCCAAAGAACTTATTTAATATGTTCTTCAAACCGTGTATATAATGATAAGAAAGCATAGGTTTGCTGCGATTTAAAACAAACAATCCAACATTAAATTCTAAAAGCTTAAACGATTGTAAAAATCTAGGATGCATTGTTTTTTCGGCGGCTAAACTAATGTCTCTTGCAGAAGCCTTAAAGATAAATTGAATTCCCAGAACAGCACAGGCAAAATCTGATAAGAAACTCGGAGCTTTCTAACAGGATGGATAGACTTTTAAATTTTGTACGGTTTCAATCAGTTTGACTTTTGTATCTAGGACTTCCTTATCACTTAAAAGCTACTAGATTCTTACATCTTTGATTTTTTATATTATAATAAAACAAATAGCTTCTTGATAGATTTTTTCCATTCATAAAAATGAGGCAATCACCTACAGGGTCTACATAACAAGATTTTCACTGGATGCTAACCCTCCTCAAAAACCTAACCACCCCCTAAAAAATTCCCGCCTAACCCTTTTAAATCTAGCAGAAATTTTTATTTGGAAAATAGTGTTTATGATTGCTTCTAAATGATAGATTTGGTTGATGATCAGCAATATTAATTTTTGCAGCAATATATTTTGTCCTATTTCATCTAAAAATTTAAGATAACCCACCAATAAAACTTATCCTAACCCCCCCCTTAAAAGCTCTTATCCCCTACCCCTCCCCCCTCATAATTGGATGTAAACTGTTCTTACTACCCCCCCCCCTTCCCATCTCTACCCCGCTCATGTAGACGCCGATCTCCGACGAAAAAAAAATTCCAAAAATTTAGAAAATTCTATTTTTCCTAATAGCCTTCCATAAATATTCTTTTAGGAAAAAAAACAACTGCTATGTAAAATTAGAAATATATTTGCATGGCTCTCTCTTTTTTAATTTAAATCTTGTTATCAAGGCCTAATTGGTAAAAACATCGTTCCTAAACGAATATAGATTTTTGTTACTTGTCCGAACAGTAAGTTGTACCTAAAAGGTGAATTATTCTTGAGCTATGATATTGCACTTCTTTTAATATCATTTTAAAATATATAATATAACAATGTAAAATTTTTAATTTTATGACCTCCCAGTGGAAGGATTTGTGGCTACGGTTAGGATTATATTAATAATGATAAGCTCTTGAATGGCCATTTTTTTTTTAATTTTTACTAAATTTCTTTATTTTACCTAAAACTAATATAACATGGATAAGTCTTAAGGGGACCAGGGTTAGTATATATATATTATATCAATATTATACAATGTATATTTATTATAAAATATTTTTGGCAGCAAATGCTAAAACTGAAAGAGTAATTTATTTAATAACTGAATTATCTCAAAAAAAAACAATTAGGTTGGAATGATGTAGGATGGAATAATCCGGATATGCCAACTCCCACTTTAAACTTGTTAGCGAACAATGGTATAATATTAAATCAGTCATACGCCTTGCCTCTATGCACACCGTAAAATATTACATGTTTTATTATTAACTGAATATAAATATAACCTTTAAAACCTATTTGTTCCATAGAGACATTATATATTTTCATTTATGACATTTATATATCAAAAACAGTTTTTTATTATCAATTTAAATGACTCCTTAACGATAATTATCTCACTTATCGAGGAATATTATCGATATTATAAGTGTAAAAGATATAATAGGGTTTGATTAAGTCGAGATCGTGCTTTATTTTTGGTTTTGTGCATGCTTTGAATTTTAAGATTATATTTACAAATTTTGAAATGTAAAGAACAACTTACCTACATTTCAAATCTTTTGTTCGGGAAAGAGCTTGTTAATCAAATGTAAATAATATATTTATTATTAATATTACTATATTTTTTTTTAAAATACTATTAATTTACAGGTCAAGGGCGGCGTTCATGACAGGATATTATCCTTATAAATTGGGATTACAAGTGATATATCTAATTTTGCTATATTATTATTTATTAATATTATTTGCAATTAGAGTGTAAATTTTCGAAAACATTAAGGACAAAGCTGAGTTGGGTTTTCGCCAGGTTTGGCAGAAATTTATCTTATAAAAAAAAAATTTGATTGTCAGATGCGAAGAATATTTATTAAATTTAAAAGATCATCTTCCCATTCCTTCCGATCAAATCTTCCATCCTCACCCGAAAACTTTATTCCCCTCATACGATTATAAAATTAACACTTTCCTCTCGAATCATGCATATGTTAAATTCATTTAGTAATTTTTCTGTAATAATCGAGATTAAATTTATAGGATTTTCTTAAATTACTACTCTCTACCCCCCCCCCTTCTTTACTATTTTTAACTTATATACACCCTTTTCATTTATTTTTAAATAAAACTTTTCCCCAAGACCCCAAGTCACTAGATTTTTAATACTATCTTTATGATTTTTTTGTAATATATCATAAACCGAGTTATAGCGAGGAAATTATTAATTCAATTCATACAAGTATAATTCTTAAAGGCGGGCTAGATGAGTTTAGGCCATCTTTTTACAATATCTTATCATACTCAAAAATTAGCCCACATAATTTTTATCATCATCATCATAGACTAGACATTCTCTTTACAATAATAATTTAAGCTACCAGATAGCCCGTAAAATAAATGATGTGTGAATTATACATTTTCCCTTCATTCGATAAAGCATGAATCAGAAATTTACCCTATTTTTGTGAAATGAATTAGAAATACCTGTATATTGGATGAGAGGTAATTCAAAAAATTTCCTATTTTGATAAAAATATGTAAGTGAAATTATATATTTAGTACTTTCAACTATATGCAAATTATTTGTAAATTATTTTGTAAAATTGTTTTAAAAATAATGAAAATATCTTTCAACTATATTTTCATTTGAACAATTTGAGTGATCTATGCTAAATAAGGGTTTAGTATTATGTTTTCTAAAAAAAATTTGTTATCCTACAAAAACCAAAGAAAATTATTGCGATATATATTTTTAAAAATAATGTGATTTACAAAAATGGTGTTACAAATAATTTGTTTGTAAATAGAAAGTATACAAAATATATAATTTCATTAACTCATTATCATAAAAACGAAAAATTTCCGAACTATCTCTCAACAAAATGTAGGCACACATTATATTCATATCTCAAGAAAATATGGGCAAATTTCCGCCGATACAACTGCCATCAAATAAAAGAAAAATTTATGATTTCCCCGTCATTCTGCTAGTTATTATTAATAACTATAAATAAAACAACTTTCAGTCAAATGTTATAGAACCACTTCAACCCAACGCAATCAGTCTAAAACGAACACTACTTCCATCGAGGTTAAAGCGATTGGGATATTCGACTTACATGGTTGGAAAGTATATTTGTTTTTTTTGTTATTATTAGCCCAAACCCAAATAACTTAACCATTCCTCTATTTTTAACCTAAACCTGAATTTTGCTAGAAAAATTAATATACTAGAATTTTAATGTTGAATCTGTTTGAAGTATCCGATAGAACGGGGGAAACCCCAAGAGTGGTCTACCTTAGATAAAGCCTCGCCATCGAAAATTACTAGTTCGAATGAATTAGGCTTCCATCATTTCTTTGAATGATGATGAAGACTTTATTTTGCTTTTTTTTAACGCCTAATATTTTAAAATATAATTTCTCAATATAATATGATTTATATTATGTCACCGACAATGTGCCTAATCAAGTAATATTTCAGCAGGTGATACGTAGAATTTCTCTATAAATATTTAGTAAATAAATTAAAAGTTCCTTTCTAGTTGTCTGAGATTTATAGGATGTGTTATTAAATAGATACTGTGAATGTATTTTTGGCAAAAAAAAACAAATCTTTTAAATTTTAAAAAGCTTTCAGCAAATTTATTTACTTCTTTTTGAAGGTTCTTTTGCCCATAGTCTAATTAAATAATTTTATTATAATTAGTTCCAACTTAACTTTTATTTTGGTAATTTTACGTTGGGCTTGTTTGTACTCTAAGATCTCACTTTATTAAACGGAGACAAAAATTACGTAACTCGATGTTTTATGTTACGAATAGTTTTTAAACATAACAATTTTTAGAATTATGAATAAAGGTTTATTGAAGTTAATTGGGTATGGGTAGTCTAATATTGCTATTAAATCGCGTCATTTTGATGTGGGTTAAATTGCAAATAAGGAATTTGGAATAAAATAATTAAGATTGGCGTGATGCTATCGTCGCGTCAAATATCATATTAAAAATAGCAATTAAGTTTACTATTCGTCAATTTAAACTGCGTAAATTTTTTTTCTTTTCAAACTCACTTATAAATCGCAAACGCTCAATTTTTAATTATTGTAAGAATCTATAAAAACATATGGTATACATTTTTATACTTTTTGAGGGCTAATAACTTTTTATAGACAAATTTATTTTTACACAAATTTTTAAATAAGTCTATTTTTTTTAAAGTTTTAAAAAACTAGTCAACAAGTTTGTCCTTAGAGTTACTCATTATAAGATTAAAAAACATTAATAAAATACGAATTATTCGTGTAGGATTTATTTATTCTATTAAAAACTTTAAAACTTTTCATGATAAATAGATGGCATTTGGGGTACTGCAATAAAAAGTTTGTCCCGAATTCTAGAGGGTTCGATTCATTTTTTGGGTATTACACAGGAGGCCAAGACCATTTTCGCCATAATGCGAGTATAAATCCATAAAAAAAAATTTATATTTTCTATTAAAAATTATATAAATAAAATACCTTCATAGATTATTGTTAATTTTTTATGTATAATCTATGATATTAATACAAACCTGGATTGAAATTTGATTCTTTAAAATGGAATAATAAAGTATATAAATATTGAAGTTTATCATTGAAAAATATATTAAAGAAATGTCTATGGCGTAACTACGGCTGATAATATAAAATACGCTTTCAATAAATCAACCTTGAGTCATGTTTGAATATTAATGTTATTTTTCATTTTCCCATTTAATCAACCTTTATACGTGCATCCGTTTAAGCTAATTTCTCATCTAATCCTCATTCTCCATCCATTGTGCTGTCACTAATTTAATCTTTCATTCTCATTTCATTATCTACCACTGGTCGCTCTCTCGGTCTTTTTCCCTCAACTTCCTCGAGGTGACAACTACTCGTCATGTTGAATGAGGCATAGTAGCAAATTTTGCTATCGGAAGTCTTTCTTGACATAAACCTCTTCGATTACCTTTTCCCACTGAGGAAATGATGATCCTATTCTTTCCCAGATCACAGGAAACCTTCAAAATCCCATTAGCCTTCTTTAAACATTGCCCACTCTATCGCCACACTGAGCAAGAAAACAGGATTTGCTGTAAAAAGTTTTATTCGTGTAGTATTAGTTTTTAAATGAGACAGATGAGCCTTAATTTAACTTTGAATGGTTCTTCCTAATATTACATGGAAGGTGTATTATCCTTATATATTCGTAATAGCTATAATAATATTTATCACATTTTATTTTAATCCTATAACCTCATACTAAAGCATTAATTTTTACTAGATGGTGTACTGGATAATGGTACTAGATTTAGCGGATACGATTTTCACGAAAATTACAAACCTTACCGTGAGGCCATCGGAGTTTATTCTTCAGTTTAGTATTTAAAAATAAATGTTAACCTCTTGAAGTTTTTTTGGACTATATATATTTTATATCAAAATGACAAATAAAAAAAATAGTTTGATAATTGTATTTATTAAAGTATAGTAATATGTTTAAAAAAATATTTTAGGAACTTTACACAAAAAAAACGATAGAAATAATAGAGAATCATGATAGCCTAAAACCCTTTTTCTTATATCTAGCGTTCCAAAATGTTCATTGTCCTTTACAGGTTAAATTATTATTAATTCAAGAATTATTTATTATATAATTGCATATGTTGAGTAAATCTATCTGACCCTGTCAGACAATAAATAGTATCATGGGCTAGCATATAATTTCATTAAAAAAATTAAACGGTGAAAAATATTCACTGGTCAGACCGCACATAATAGTTTATAGACCGGACTAAGTAAATAGACATAAAAATATAAAGACGATTTGTGACTGGGATTTTGTCTCTTCAGACATCTTCGGGGTGGTGTAAAATATTCCAGAAAATTGTATAACAAATGGCTTTTCTCTAATAAAGCATTGTAAACTGGAAATGAATTCAATTTCAATGATGTATATATGTTACAGTTAATATACAAACTAGGCTAGTAGCCAGCTAATTAGTTCGCAAACTAGCTAGTTGGTTTATAAACTAGAGTAAGACAGCTAATTTGCTAACGTAGCTATAGGAATAGCTTGTATACAAACTATCTGAGCTAGTATACAAACTAACTATCTATTACTAAGATATACTAACTATAGATCTGCAAATCCCGGACCGTAACTTGCCCCACCGTCCGACCCAAACGGGTTTTGAGTCCGGGTGAGACTATTTATTATTCGGGTCGGGCTTTTTGGGAATTAAAAATCACTAATATAGACTCTCCAGCTACTTAAGTTCTGATATTATCAAGTTACCAATCCCGCCTAAGAGAATATTTAATTCTTGCATACCCTAATATCTCGTATCTTTGTGCTCATCATGAGGCCCAAATTCAAATTCTCTACTCCATCAGGTAATCGACTTTTAAAAGTCTTCTTCCCAAGTCGACTCTTCTCCAACTTCATTTAGCTGTGGATTTATATTTTCCTTTACTGCTAGACTAGGGATTAAAGGGAAGATACACATATCTCTTATACGTGTCTTCATAAAGAGGTTAAACCTTATAACAAAGTTCTCAATATAAAAACATTTAAACGAATTACTTTCTGGCATAAATAAAAATAATAACAAGTCAAATAATTTTGTTGAAAAGAAGTGAAAACAGAAGGAAATATTTCACAACAAATTAAATTACTGTAAATGAGATTATTAATATTTGGGGAATAAAAACGAATAAATACACTTAATTAACCATTCGTGTTGTAATATTTAACCATATAACATGGCCCACACGAGAAATGGAAAATTTTAAAGTAGCACCCATAGTTATGTTAATTATTTTTTTAAATAGAAATTATCGATTTTGTATTGCATTTTTTAAGGAACTTTAACCGTAACAAGTACATTTAAAAGGTAACTTCAGCCTGTAATTAGCTCCATTTTTGTAAAAACTATTAGATTGTTCAATAAATGTGTATTAATTTTTTTTTTAAATTAACGTTTAAAAATAAATCATGTTTTAACAAAATACATAATTTATCATTGTTACAGATCTCAGGAAATTGTATGCCAAGCTGTCAATATATTATTGATCGACCAATAGCAGTAATTTTAAAAGGTGTTAGATTATTTCATAAATGATAAATATGCTATGTAATAAGTTGACTTTTGATGGAAACTCTTAAATGTCACTAGTTACCTTTTAAAAGTAAATTTTAAGAACACTAATTTAAAGAAGAAAAATTTATTGATCGATTTACCCCTAATTTTTAACAAATGAGCGTTGTTGAAATCATGGAGTTTAATTATGTTTCTGTTCCCTACCAACCAATATTATAATTTCATTGACTCTACGAAAGCGACTAGCTTCTTTCTCAGATAATATGGAGGATTTTCCACGAAAATAATAGAAATTTGAGATGTTCATCCGGATTGCTTGCAAATTCCAGCATTCCTCTATATGTGGCCCGATATCACTAACTCCCTTGGACAACAGGAACTAAAAAATTTATTTAATAGCCCCACTTTTTTGTTCTTTATGGACGATGATTAGAAAGTCTTTTCTCCGCGATTATGCTATAATTATGCAAATCTCATTCAATAATGCCAAATCTATACCGTATTTTGTTTTGATATAACTGTAAAATTTCTTTTCATGTTTACGAGTATTTATCACTGATTATAAATACATTTAGATAGATTTTAATCTTCGGACACCCTTAGCAAATCCTCTATACCTTTGAAATATGGAGCACATGATGCTTCAAATCATATGACATTTTCATATTAAATATTAAAAACTACAAATAATAGGCGTTCTTGAGATCTATTATCTTTTCCCACCTTCAAATCCCTTATCGCATCAACAAACAGGGTATATATTGCAAGAATGAATTGGGGGGGGGGGGGACTTGACGACACAAATGATAATTTCTTTATTGGTTTTTCTGTAATTTAATCCAAGATGAATTTTTGATTGCCTATTTTATTTAGAATATTCTGACAGCACCCGAATGGGAAATTCTAATTTTTTTTAAATGTCCATAAATGCTAATAGGGATAAGAGGTACTTTTAAATATCCGATGTATTTTTACGATATTTTTATGTTATGTTTATCCATTATACTAACCACCAATCTTTTCGTTCATCAATAAATGTTGTGAATAATTTGAAGCTCTGAATATAAATGAAAATTATATTCGCAAATGGCATAATCCTTATTACCTAGACTTTTTAAATAACTCTTTTGGTTGTATTTATTACGGTAGATATTATAAAATAAAAGGTTTGAACTTGTTAATAAATATATCATTTATAATTGTTCCAGATACCAGGAAATCGTATCGCGCCTAGCTGTCAACATATCGAAAATAAAAAGCGACGAGTATATTGCAGTAATTTTTAAAAAATATAAATTATATAATATTAAATATTATTAATAACTGAAAGCCTTAAGTATGGGGTAAAAAGTTGATGTTTACATAGGAAAATATGTAAATATAGATATAGGTATTGCGTCAAATATTTTTATACCGAGTAACTGTTCGTTCATAGTTATGGGTTATATGAGGCGTAAATTATTTTTAATTTGTATTCGCGCGTTCAAAGATTCATCCCTATATTTCGTGATACTGTGATTGCGCTGATAATTATTATCAGGCAAGCTCAGATACCGACATTTATATATATATGTTTCTCTTAATTTAGCATTCGGTCTTTTAGAGAATAACGAAAAAAAAATATAATTTATAACTATTTTTATATAAGTTGGGATTTAATTTATTTTTTTTTAATTTTAAAAATAATAACCTTTTAGGTATGTTAGTATACGTTGATTTGTCCATGAAGGAAATCGTGAAGGCATTAAAAAGGAATAATCTTTATCGGGATACATTAATAGTCTTTACATCAGATGTAACAGTTACATTTTTATGCATATATATTGATTATAAAATTGGTAGCTTCGATGTGTTTTTTTCAGTCAATATGTTATTTTTTTATCAATTTTAGATCAATTTATGCGTTTATTATTTTTATTTTTTTTAATTAGATTTTACCAGGAATATATCTCTGCATCTTTAAAATACCTACCCTAAAAATTTCAGACGTCATACAAAATTTATATTAAAGAATCCATGTATAAGTTAAAAAGGTATATCAAAATTTAAAAATCATAGTGTAGGTTTTCCTCCATAGAGGTCCATTTTTAAAAAATTACTCGATTAAGATTTTAGTAAGGAGTAATATTATGTATGCCTCGAGATTTGGCAATCAGAATTCTAAAACCTTTTTGCCATCTGTGAGCAAAAATCTCTAGACTCACAGAATATTATGTTGGCTAAGATCTTACATTGTGTCTTCTAACAACACTAGTTTTCTTCCTACACATGTAAACACATTTGTAATTAATATATTATTTATATACGTATATTTGAAACAGGAATCAATATCCATGTGAATTTTTTTTTTAAATGATAAGATTTTCAAGATTTTATGTTAAATTTAGATTAGTATTGTTAAAAAGTGCAGTGTAAGTCGATTTTTAAAGGACCGGATCAAGATTTTAGCTAAATTAATATAATTAATATAATGTAAGCTTGGAGAATTTGCTCACAGATGGCGGCTGAAAAGATTGGATCTCTATTTGACAATATTATTTTGGCTAAAATTTTATTCGGGACATTTATTAAAAATCGATACAAATAGCGCCTTTTAAAAACACTAATTTATATGATCAAATAAGGTAGTATCCAAATGATATAGTTAATCTTTATAAAATATATTTAAGGAATTTTTTTTATAAATTAATTAAGAAACTACTCTTTTTTTTCTGCTAGACAAAAACCATATAATCATTCGCCATTTTTTTCCGCACCGGAAACGTCTTAAAAATAAATATTTACGAGACCTTAAAAAGAATATTAATAATTAATTAATTATTATTGAAACGTTTTATTACGAAATATTTAGAATGGTGGTCAAGTGCTGCAAGGTGCTAGTAACTATCCGCTAAGAGGTAACAAAGGTACAATATGGGAAGGCGGAATACGAGTCGCGGGATTTATCCACGCCAAATTTCTTAAACTGAAAGAGGGATATGTTAGCAATAAGTTAAATTCTTTTTATAATCTCTATATAATTGTTTATTTTTTGTCTAATTTATTTTTCTTTTAAAATTTTAAAACTCATTATAGGTTAGGTTAATATTTCTAACCCTGGGATATGATAAGTTATCACTTTGGATAATTTTTAGTAAAATTTTAAGCTAAGCTTATAATATTCCAGCACTGGGAATTATAGGTCATCATTTATAATGTTTAGTTAATGTTATATGGGGTTCTTATAAATTATTAGTATATATCTAAAATTTTATTTTGTTTTTGCATTATTCTTAAATTATATACATATTTTCTTCTTAAAAAAATTCTTCAAAAAACAATTTCGATTTATAAAACAGATTAATTCATGCTGTTGATTGGTACCCAACTTTTGTAGAATTAGCCGGGGGTAGCAGAGAAAGTCCTCACTCCTATTGGAATTGGGGAGAATCTTCTAAAGGAGATGGCATAAGTCAATGGAACAGTATAATTGATAAAAATGCCCCGGCACCTAGAAATCATTTTTTGATCAATTTGATGTTACAAAATAGATATTTTGCTGGTATAAGGTAACAATAATACGTACATTTTTTTAAAAAATCTAAATTAATTTAATCATTTGTAATTCGTTAAAAATTTGTAAAGGTATAAAGATTTTAAACTCTTATTGGGTAATCCTGGAGATATGGATGGTTGGTATGATCGACCCAATACATCCAATAAAACAAGAGAAAGAAAGAATTCGCGAAGTAAAAAAAAACGATACAATTAAAATTATTTTTAACACACATTATTCTTTTTTTCTTAGATAAATCTGGAGGACGGATTGCATTTTTCCCGATCAAAAAACTTAAATGCCGATATAAACAAGGAACTTCAAAGTTAGACAAATGTAGGGAAGAAATGATAAGAAATAACACGAATATTTGGTATTTCAACATCAAGAGTAATCTTTTTTTTATTGCATTTTGTATATTTACTTGACAATTATTAATGCCATATTTGGTCGGTTACCCCCCATACGAAAATATTATTTTAGGCCTGATATATATATATATATATGGGTTTGGGGGGAGGTAATGCGAATATTTGTATCTTGTAACTAACTTATTGTTTACTTTCAATATCTTATACCTAAGATTCAATTTCTTGAAATTTTATTCAACACATTTCAAAAAGATATATATATGTATTAGTTAATAATGCGAATATGATTATTTATTTAAATATATTTGTTAAGTGGATTAAAAATTTCAAAAAGGAGATAGTACACACTATTTATGCAAGGCATTAAGGCATGAAGATCTGGGCTTGGAAGTATTTGAGTAGGAGAAAAATTAACGTAAGATCTAGAACGAATGGCAAAGAGTTGGGAAACATCCAATGCATAGTCGGGCATGCCACAGAGAGAATGCTTATCTTGGAAATGAACTGGGGAACTATTGAAAAGGGTGCTTATAAACTACGGGGAATAAAAATAAGCTTTACTTAATAGTATCAATGCAAATCGAAATAGGTAGGATACCTGAAGGTAAATAGTCAATCAACTGGAGTTACTGTCAAAATTAGATGGTATATTTACAAAATACGGAATACCTGAGGTATTAGTACAGGGCAATGGTTCAGCAGTTAGCAGTGCAACATTCAGGTTTTGTAGGAGTGAAATATACCGCTACTCCGAAATATTATCCCGCTCCAATGGACAAGAAGGAAGATATTTGGAGTTTGTAAAGAGTTAGATTAAAAAGAGAGTAATGGAAGATGGAGAATTTTGGTTGTATTCTGTATCACAATAAAAGTGGGCATCATGGGGTTAGGTTCCCGGCGAAGTCATTTATGGGAAGGAGAACCCGAGAAGTAAGGATAAAGAAGAATGTCCATGCCATATGGGAGAATCCTGTACATTATCTCCCCTTAATCCTGATCATTCTATATCAGATAAAATGGCCCATTAGAATCATTATTATTCTTAAATGTGGAAAAAAGAAATAGCAAAAGGATTATTAGCTGAAGAAGTTAGAACCACATAATTTTAAAAATATCGTAAATATTATGTATAAAGAAAATATCATCTTGCATTTAAAGAATTGTTACTCAGCAGGCATCATCATTGGGTTATCAATAGCTTCTTGTGAGACCCCATTCTCTACACAAAAGAGTTCTATCGAACACTAGAGAATCGACGAAACATCGACGTAAACAAATTTTAATATGATTTATGAAAAAAATTAACACAGAATTTAGCATTTAATTATATTATGTTAAAATTTTAAAGTGAAAATCGTAGAATATTATTTTGAATTCTTAAGCTAGTCCTATCTTTAAAAAAACAATAATTCATGGTAAATTGGTTAAAGCTCAATTCTAATAGGAAGATAGCTGTTTGTAACTCACGAAAATTTCTATTATAACAGCTGATTTATTTAAATTTCTATTCGTCTATTTATAATCACAGACCGGTTATTAAAACTGATCAATTTATTGAAAAACCTAACCCATATTTCTAAACCCTTTTAATTAACCCAAATACTCTCTAACCTAAAATTCTACTTCTTACTACAGATAGTTGATTATTTTTAAATATACCTCTTCCAATTGAAAAAAATTCAGTTGAACATTCTTTGAGTCGAGCTATTACCTTCAATTTTATATACATTTCCCAATTTTATATCATAACTACAGATATTTTGAGACTAGCTCTAATACCCACATTTTTTTTTAGTGAAGAGTAATTTGGTAACGATATAGGAAATTTTATTTGAATATTTTTCCATTTTAATTAAATATAATTAATTTTTACTATACTATATAAAGTGAATTGTTAAAGGATTTTAATATGTTATTTAATTTTTAAAAAATATCATCCAGAGGATCCTTATGAAGAAAACAATATGGTTAAAAGAGATGAAATATTCTTTAAGATGCTAGATCTGTTAGTGAGATATTCAAAATCTTATAAAAGACCGACTCATAAAAAAAAAGACCCTAAAGGAAGCCCTATTCACTTCGATGGATTTTTCAATTTTGGTTGGTGTGATGCATTTTAAATTTTTATTTTTGGAATATAATGATATTTGTGTTTTATTTATATCCATTAAGTAATAATATACATAATTTTGCAGGAATCATCACTTCCCTTCATTTTCTACATTATTACGATATTGTGCGTTTAAAAAATGTCGTTTTTTACACTATAAAAATTTGTTTTATAAATTATAATTCTAAAAAAAACTGTAGTAAACTATTTTTTTTATAGTTATTTTAATATAATTTCAATTTTTATTATATAATATTTTCTTATTTTTATACAACAAATTAGATTTTATTTAAAACATTTTACTTCAAATCCTTGATAATGTGAATGGTGTTTTCTTTATTTTATAACATGTATTCGCATTCATGCAACACGATTATTCGTAATGAATCATTATTCGATTTCGAAAATTAAATCCTTTTAAAAATATTACAAAAAATGAAGAAAAAAAAATGAAATATTTAAAATTTAAAAAAGTTATTTGTAGAAAAAATGAAATTTACAGAAAAATATAGTTCCGCGAGAATATTTTTGAATACTTACAAATAATTTCGAAAATTTTTGATATTTACAATTAATTTCAAAAAATTAAGAATAATTATGAATATTTCCTAATAATTTAGAATAATTCGATCTAAGAATGAGTAAAAAAAATATTTTTTCGATTCAAATTTGGAAAATAATTTTGTCATTTATATCATGATTCATTTTACTGTAAAAAAAAATATTTTTAAAATAAATAAAACCCTAAATTCACGTCTAAATATCTGATGTGCCTTTTTTGAAAAAAATTAATATCCAGAAATATTTGTTATTTCAGAGACCTGTAGAGGTATCATCAAAAATGAATCAAACATGTTTGAAACAAAATATAGAATATATGGAAATACGCTATGGACATTAGATAATTCTCGCATTTTTATGAATTTGAATTTCAAAAAATGACTATTAATTATAAAATGCCAAATGAAATATAGGATGATTTGAAAACACCTGTTAAATTCAATCTCTTTTTGAATTTTTTTTATAACCATATTTTTCATTGTGCGACAATAGATTATAGGATTTTAATCCCTTTTTGTTTTTCTTCATTTTTTGTATATACAATTTGAGGAGACTCCGAATCTGCAATATGTTTTATGAGACTCATCATGTTATCTGCCTGTTGCCTCCCCCCCCAAGGCTTTGTCAAGAGATATTAAATAACCAAGGCATCTTATTATTATTCCTATGATAGAACGGTTGCTATTCACATATCTTTCTGGGGTATTATAGATTTGGATATATTTTTGTTGTGGGAAAGTCTTCCATAATGAGCCATCATATGTGCACGTGACATGCACAATAATATCACGATTTATATTTCACCATTTATCTAAACCTTCAGATGTCCATTTCGAATTTGTGTGTAGACTCCCAAATAAAAGACACATTGATTTTAATACTGTAGACAATCTAATTTCTAAAAATTTTAATATTATCAATATTAGTTTTCTCATAAATATAATTAAAGGGTCTTTTATTATTATTACTATCTTTGAGGAATAAATAATGGTTAGGTTGGGGAGCTTCTAATTCTAGACATTTATCAATTATAAATTTGTCGATTATTCAATATTGATGTTTTAACTGGTACTGAACGAACATGGACAAAAAGTTGAAAAATCGGCTAGATAATTTGATTCATAAGAAAAGGGAGTAAGAGTGAAGCCTATTCGTCCAATTCTGTGAAATGTCCATAAAGGTCACTATTTTAGAGCTTTTCTTTATATCTTTAAACCTCGTCCTTTTTCTAATATGGTGTGTCCATTTATCATCTTCTATATTATGCCGTTCGCAATTATTGATTAAGCATTTGTATTTTTTGGGGGGAATATTTTGAAGTTAAAAAAATAATTTTATGATAAGAAAAGAAATCTCTTGGTGCTATGGATAGGTGTAATTTAACATTAAATGAAATAAAATTTTAAAAAATTTTAAGAAATAGTAGCTTCATACCCCCCCCCCTTCTTCCTCCTCACCCCGTTGTAGGGGCCACTGGTCGTGTTATTGATTAAAACATCTTTTTGATTTAAAAACCTACTTCCAATGGAAAGAAGGAGAATTCTGAAAAATCTTCATGGAGTTACATCGCTTTACTTTTTAGCAAAATAGATGTGTTTTATTGGAACATTTATGGTTTTTATAAATATCTCTTGTAAAATTTAAAACGTTTAAAAGTGAAAGTATCATCTTGGAAATTACCTTCTAGTGTTTTAAGCCAATATGTCTTCGTTTTATCCCTAAACCCTCCGTTAATATTGAAAATATACTTGAATCTAGTCGACATTGTCCACGGTTTATATAATATATTACTAGTATTTCTATTATTATTATCTTCAATCCATTTTTCCAAATATCTCCAATCATACATAAACATATAATCTATGCTGATCAAAAATATTCCAGCTATTCTAGCTAACTTTCCTGTCACGTGAACATCTTCCATAGACAAATAGGGTTGCGTAAAGTAGGCCTTATATAATTTGAACGCCGTTGGTGGCGTGAGTATTGTTGCCATTCCCATGCAAAATGGTTCAAAAAATTTACCAGAGTACTCCTTCTCCGTGGTATACCACTTCATTCTCTTTATCCTGACTATATTAGAATTTATAATCACGTTACACAGGATTAAGTCCCTAAGCTGACCTTCCATTTTGCCAAATAACTTTTGATGCTCCATGGAAAGTTTCTCATCCACATCCAACATGGTGAGGGAACTATTTTTCAGGCATTTGTAATCCAGTTCATCGACAACTGTTTTGTCTCTCACGGACACGCGATTTATGACCCAATCCGCGATTTCCTGTCCCTGTGACGACCTATTTTTGAGAACTGTCATAAATCGATTAAAAAACACACCGTGCTCCATGTAATCGTACTCGGTGAAAGTCTTCGATTTTGTTTGATTATGAATGTACGGTAAAAGTCTGCTACGTGGTTTTATGTGATCCACATTTTTTATCCAATACGATCCATAGGTTTCCTTAAAATTGTCCAACATACTGATGAGATGAAATATATCCACGTAAATATCGTCGTCTATTTTTAGTACAAATTCGGCGTGAGGGCAGTGGTAAGAAATCCATTTGAGGCCCATGGCCGTTTTATAAGTCATATTTTGATAAGAGTCGACAAAGGAAGCTTGTACAATATCGCCGTAAGTTTGGCTTTCGTTGACGAGTTGATTTTGTAAGTGCTCTATGGACGTTGTCCCGACTAAGAACACGACGTTTAAATTATAATTAAAATATTTTTTGATTGATCCCCAAGTTTCTCTTATTGATGCTCTGTGGTTGAAGTGATCCGGGGCAGTATGAACCACCGCCATTAAAAATATTGGTCGCGTGACCATCGTGTAATTAAGTCGATAATGTGATTCTTCGTAGCATGACATTTGCGGATTTATAAGGAAATCAAAATCTGCTGGCAAATCCAAAGTCCCATTTTTTTCGACGAAAACCCCGTTTATCATGGTGTAATCTGATTTCAGTTTTTTTATACAGTCATCATCGGTCATATCGTTTTCCTCGTGAATAATCTCGGAATGATTATTCCTAGAGGATTTCCAGTCCTTCTTTATAATGAATCGATTTATGTGTAAAAATATTTGAAAGATTACTATTATCGAAAAAAATAAAAAGGTATTTTTGTTCATCCAAATCATATGTTAACTGACTTTCTAATCTTATTAGCAAAGAAAAACAAGAAGTAATCAAAATAATTATGGATATATTTATAGCATTGCTTTTGTTTTTTTTATGATTATTTCCGAATTTATATAAAGAAGAAAAAGAAAAGAAAAATTGATCTTACTTTTTAAAAAAAAAGAAAATTAAATTAATTTGATTAAATATTATATATAATAAACATAAATTTTCTATTTCAAATTACCAAAGAAAGACAATAAAGTAGGTTACACTAACACTTTTAAACTATTCTTATCGATCTCATAAACTAGTTTTTATTTTTTAAACTAATTATTTTTAAAGTATCATTATAGAATTATTTAATCTAAACTATTAATTATTTTAAATATTGAATATTTATTTTTATCTATCTCCCAAGAAATAAAATGTAAAACGCCATTTTAATGTTTCTATCATTATTATTACATTTTTTTTTAAAAAAATTCTATATTTTTTAAATATAAGCATAATTTAAAAATTGAAACATTTTAATGAAAAATCAAAAATTATGTCTTACCTCATTTTAATGTGTAATATTAAACCATCGACTCTATTATAGTGGTAAAATGTGGTATGTGCCAAATAATAAATTTTGGGGGATACAATAAATTTACTCATTGGCGGTCATTTTAGAAGTACTTTTTAGAAAAAAAATTTTATAATGAAAAAATTAAAAATATATATATATAATAAATAAAAATAATGACTATTATCTAACTACCATGATATAAGTCTTTTATGTTTATCACTCGACCCAGAAATCGTCACGACAACTATTAGCTAAAACTGGAAGATTAAGGCAATCTTTTTCTGGCTAAAATATTGAGATAGGCGTTTTTAAAAATCGGGTTAAATCTAGCCGTTTATAACACTAGTCCAAATCAACACGCTCGTCAAAGAGGCGGTAGAAATCGGACGTAATCATTATTTCTAATTTTTGATCCGTCAACATCTTTAAAAATTTTCATGCCGAACGCTGGATGGGGGGTTAAAAATTTTTAATGAATTTCCGGACCGGACGTTTCGGATATTTTTTTAGATTTCTGTTCGGGTTAGACGCCGAAACACATGTTCGATTTTAATAAATAAAAATAACAAATACAACATAATGTTGAAAGATAAAACATTTATTAACATGGGATGAAAATTTTAAAAGTATTATATGAAAACAGTTTATTGCGCCATGTTTGATTGCTATTTAAAAGTTTTTAATAATTATATAATAATCTCTAATCCTCAAAAACTTTAGGCAAAACTCTTGCCATGAATGGCATGAAACTGTACC